CTCACCATCTCTAGCAATAAAGGAAATGCAAATTAAAACCACACTAAGATTCCACCTCACCCCTGTTAGAATAGCCATTATCAGCAACACCACCAACAACAGGTGTTGGCGAGGATGCGGGGAAAAAGGAACCCTCTTACACTGTTGGTGGGAATGTAAACCTAGTACAACCACTCTGGAAAAAAATGTGGAGGCTACTTAAAAAGCTAGACATTGATCTACCATTTGATCCAGCAATACCACTCTTGGGGATATACCCAAAAGACTGTGACACAGGTTACTCCAGAGGCACCTGCACACCCATGTTTATTGCAGCACTATTCACAATAGCCAAGTTATGGAAACAGCCAAGATGCCCCACCACCGACGAATGGATTAAGAAAATGTGGTATCTATACACAATGGAATTTTATGCAGCCATGAAGAAGAACGAAATGTTATCATTCACTGGTAAATGGATGGAATTGGAGAACATCATTCTGAGTGAGGTTAGCCTGGCCCAAAAGACCAAAAATCATATGTTCTCCCTCATATGTGGACATTAGATCAAGGGCAAACACAACAAGGGGATTGGACTTTGAGCACATGATAAAAGCTTTAGCGCACAAGGGAGGTGTGAGGATGGGTAAGACACCTAAAAAATTAGCTAGCATTTGTTGCCCTTAACGCAGAGAAACTAAAGCAGATACCTTAAAAGCAACTGAGGCCAATAGGAAAAGGGGACCAGGAACTAGAGAAAAGGTGAGATCAAAAAGAATTACCTAGAAGGTAACACCCATGCACAAGAAATTAATGTGAGTCAACTCCCTGTATAGCTATCCTTATCTCAACCAGTGAAAACCCTCGTTCCTTCCTATTATGGCTTATACTCTCTCTATAACAAAATTAGAAATAAGGGCAAAATAGTTTCTGCTGGGTATTGAGGGGGTAGGGGGGAGAGGGAGGGGGCAGAGTGGGTGGTAAGGGAGGGGGGGTGGGGGCAGGGGGGAGAAATGACCCAAGCCTTGTATGCACATATGAATAAAAAAAAAGAAAAAAGAAATAGGCAAAAAAAAAAAATCTATGCAAAAAAAAAAAAAAGAAAGGGCAAATGTTTTAATTTTCATGAAATCTTTGACTAATCCAAGATCCCTAGTTTTCTTCTAGAAAGTTTATGGTTTTAGCTCTTAGGTTTGTGATCCGTTTTGTTTTGTTTTCTGGATAATAGTATACATATCCAGTTGTTTAATGAAAGATTATCTTTTTCCCATTGAGCTTCTTGGTAGAGTGGTCAAAGTCAGTTGGCCAGGTATGGCGGTTGGTTTTTGACTTCCTCTATTCTGTTTCACTGTTCTAAATGTCTGTCTATTTCTGTACTTCATTGTCTTCATTGCAGTGTTTTACAGGAAGTCTTGAAATCACACTGCAAGTCCTCCAACCTTGTCCTTCTTTCTGTAAGCTGTTTTCACCAGTCTAGGTCTTTTGCTTATCAGTTTTTACAGAATAACTTGCTTATGTTTGCATTGGGATTGTATTGACTCTATAGGTCAATTTTGGAAGAACTGACAATATTGAGGTTTCTGATCTATGAACATTGTATATTTCTCCACTTATTTAGGTCTTCTTTAATTTTTTTCTTTTGGCAGTGCTGGGGACTGAATCCTAGGCCTTCCACATGCTAAGAGTATATACTCTTCTACTGAAGAAGCCCTATGTGAGGTCTTCTCAACTTTTTATATCAGTGTCTTCAAATTTTCAGAGTATAATTTGGCATTTTATGTTATTGATATTTTAATATTTTTATTTCAGTTTTTTCCTCAAAGTCACTCCAGTTATAAAATTTATGAAATTTTATTGTAATAAGTACATATACTATAGCATTTATCTTAACTTTTTTTTCAGTGCTGAGAATTGAACCCAGGGTTTCACACATGCTAAGCAAGCATTCTACCACTGAGCAGCATCCCCAACCATCTATCTTAACCATTTTTAAAAGTACAGTTCAGTAGTGTTAAGTAGTGCTAAGTGTTAGTGGTAGCCCCTGGCACCCACAATTCTGTTTTCTGTACCTGTAAGTTTGACTATTCTAGATACTTCATATTAGTGGAATTTTAACTTAAATTTTAATTGTACATTAAGAGTTGTAATTAACTGATTTTTAAATATTGATCTTGTGTTCTAAAATCTTGTTAAATTCATGGATTCATTCTAGGAACTTTTTTGTAGATGCATTGGATTTTTTGCCTGCTATTTTTCTACTCTGGCTACCTTTTATTTATTTATTTTTTTACTTGTCTTATTAAACTGGTGGCATACACCATCATACTGGCTATTTTTCTTTCTTTTTTTTTTTTTTTTTTGTAATGCCATTATGTGGTTTTGCTGGCAGAATATTGATGACCTTGGAGAAGGAGTTGGAAAGTGTTCTGTCCTCATTTAGATTGAGGTTATTTCTTCTTATTTAAGGAAGAAGTTTCTTTTTCTCCTCGTATCTCTGATCTGTATCCCCTTTTCTTCCTCCCTTCCTCTGATGTGGCTAGGACAGGTGAATACAGTTTATTGCTGAATCCCAGTACTTGTAAGAATGTCTGACAAATATTAGAACCCTCAATATATATTTGCTGAATAAGGAATGGTAGAATTTCATAGATAATAAATCTTTTAATCAAATTTTTTTCTGGCATGTGTGCTAATTCAATTTAAACATTATTAAGAACCTAATGTGTGCCAAGCATGGAATCAAAGATGACATTAAGATATAGACTCTCCTCTCCAGAAATTTAGTTTGAGGAGAGAGACTGACAAACAGATAGCTAGAAATCTTTATGCTTATGTGTGAAGGAGGAGCACTTTAAGCCAACTTGAAAGTTTTAGGAAACTTGCTGAAGGGATGATGAGTAAGACCTTGCAAGACAAATAAAAGTAAGACAGGCAGCAACAACATGAATATTCCTTTTTTTTTTTTTTAAAGCAGCACTAGAGTTTGAACTCAGGGCTTCACACTTGCTAGGCAGGTGCTCTTTCTGCTTGAGCCACTCCACCAGCCCTTTTTTGGGATTTTTTTTTTTTTTTTTGAGAATTATTTGTCTGGGCTGGCTTCAGATTGTGATTCTTCTGATCTCCGCCTCGTGAGTAGCTAGGATTATAGTCATGAGTCATTGGCGCCCCCAAAATATCTGAGCAAAATAATTTATAGAGGAAGGATCCATTTTGTTTCAGAGTTTGAGAGGTTTCAGTCACTCAGGGCAGGGGGGACATGGTGGAGCAGTGCAGCGCACATCATGGTGACTAGGAAGCAGAGGCCCCTTATTTTGTCCTTCCCTTCTTTTACTCTGTCAGGGCCCCAGTCTAGAGGATGGTGCTGCTCACATTCAGGTTGAGTCTTCCACGCCCCCTTAGTTAATCCTTTCTGGAAACCCCTCACAGACATGCCCAGAGCTGTGCTCTGCTAATCTCTTGGGCACTTCTCAATCCAATCAAGTTGACAATCAAGATTAATGTTCACAGAAGGTAAATTTTATGTTAGGGACATTTAGTACAATTAAAAAGTAGAACAAGTGTTCCCCCAGATTGAGAAAATGGCAAGATCAAATTGTCTCCTAAAAAGTAGACTCAGGAAACTGTAATGTATAGATATTTCTAAGGTTTATCTAGTTATTTCAAACATTTTCTCTGTTCTTCTCAGAGTTGGGTGTCAGAAATTAAAAGAGAAGAAAATGCAATGCACTTTGACACTGAAACAGGTTCAGGAATGGAAGATCATTTGCCTCCAGTTCGTGGCTCCAGCAGCTCTGTTCATGTCACCAAGGTGGGCTTTTTTGGTGTGGGGTAGAGTGGGTAAGAGGAACAGGTGGTGGCTCTTGTTTAAGGGTCTGACTCGGTCTAATCGGAGTAGCCAGAGTGTGACATGTTCCAGAGAACTAGAGATGTTTTCAGCTGGTATGTAGGACCCACCTGCTTGGTTTTTTTGTTTTTGTTTTAGCAGCACTGGGGTTTGAACTCAGGGCCTCATGCTTGTGAAGCAGATGCTCAGTGGCTTGAGCCACTCCACCTGCCCTGGACTACCTACTTGAATAGGCTGTATCTTATCACTCGGCGTCAAAATGAAGCAGTGCTTTCCATTGAAGGCTTGCATCTTGGAGTTGCTGCCTTTCTTCTTTTTCCTTTTGCTGTCCTGTGTCTTCTACTTTGACAGAGTCTTCTCTTCTGCTTTCTGATAATTTAACCTTCCTGGACTTTTTATTTTTTTAACTTCCCTCCCTAAATTAGGAATTTTACTGGTAACTGTCTGTCATCAATGAATTCATACTTATTAATTGACAACTATGGGCTAAGTCAGAAACATTACAATGACTCATACTCAGTCTTTGCCATCAAGGAGCTTATGATCAATTAGGGTAGACAGATTTGTGGTACATTGGTTCTCAGAGTTGATCTGGGGACTCTTGAAGTCCAGGGGAGTCTAAAAGCCAATGTATGGGTTTTTTTATTTTGTTTTATTTTTGTTTTGTGTCTCTATGTTGCCCAGCTGGCCTGGAATTCCTATATAAACCCAAGTGATCCTCTTGCCTCAACCTCTCTCAAAGCTGGGATTTCGTGTACACACCACTGCACCTGGCATGCTATTTGTAAATCGTATTGGCTCTCCGTCTTCCCCAGTATGTTGACATTTGCACTGAGAGTAAAACTCTGCTGGGGTCTTAACATGAATCAAGGCAGTGGCACCACACTGTACTATTGAACACAGCAAAAGTTCCAATTTACTTTAAAATAGCTTTCATGAAACAGTAAAATGCTTGCTTTGTTAAATCTTGAGGCTCAAGGACGTGCCTTTTCAGTATTTTATGTGGCAAAATGAGAAGTAGGTGGAAAGCAGTGCACTGAGTAGTGAAATGTGATTTGTTATCTCAAGAAAAGCACTTGTAAGCTCAAGTAGCCATTTCTTGACTTTACTTGAAAAAATAACTGACATACAAACTGGTGTTTATCCAGACTTGGGTTTTGGGTGTACATTTTGTTGAAAATGAATGAAGAGGACCTGTCACTTTAACAAAAACAACTGATAGCATTTGTGTGAGAAAATCTGAACTTTGAAGTGAAAATTAGAAGTTTTGCATTCATATGAATTTCTCAGATACCTACCAGTGACAAAATATATCCCTTTAAGGAGGATACTTGTCTAAAGACCAAATTTAGTTGAAATTGATTGGCTTTTATTAGTAATTTGTGAATTGGAGCATTTTCTAAAAATTTAGAAAAGGTCTTCCACTGGGTATGGGAGAATATTTGGTTTTTATTAGGTATGTTGAACAAGAAGAAAGAATATAAAAAGCAGATTGATTAACACCAAGTTACTGTCCTTGTATTTTTTTTGGAGATAGGGCTATTATCTTCCTCTTGATTTCTCAGAAGGTCAGATAATTTAGTTTTCATTAGGTGATGTGGAACTTTAGCATGAATAACTCCATTTTGGTTTAGTCTGTTGGGGACCATGTGGGAGCTCATTCCAAGTCAGTGGCCTCCTGTAACTTTTCTTTAGCATGTTGACTTTTCTCATGAGCTTCCTGAGGACATTATCAATGTGATTTCTTAATTGTATAATGAAATGAGTGAATGTTTGGAAGATCTGCATAACTCCAAATGACCAAGAATTTTCACAAGTGTGAAAATGTTATGGCACCAAACAGTTGAGCCCCACTGACACAGTGTGCTTGTGTGGACTAGTGTAATAATTATAGGGTACCATGGGAGCATGTGGAAGGGGGTACGTGTCCCAGTCTTTCAGAGTCAAGGAGCATTCTCGGTGTAATGTGGTACAGTATATTTTATCCCATGTACCTAGACCATGTTTTGAGACTCTATATTACTGCACATTCATTGAATTTATTAAATGTTTTCTTACTGAGTTATATTGACAAATACAAGTTGTATATTTAATATGATGTTTAGACACAAATTCATTGTGAAATAATCACCATAATCAAGCCAATTCATGTTCTTCTTTTTTTATTTTTGATCCCTAAGGGGGATAGTCTTTGTCACACGTAAATATTGGAGAGCCGTATATGAATTTAAATACCCCTGTTTTCTAATAAGGGCTTTTAAAAACTAAATTGTACCATTTGAGTAATTTCCTGGAGCTGCTGTAACAAAGTAACTCAAACTAGTTGGTTTAAAACAACAGAAATGTATTCTTTCACAGTTTGGGAGGCCAGACTTGGAATTCAGGGTATTGGGAAGGCCAAAATCCCTTTGAAATCTGTGGGGGAGAATACCTCCTTGTTCTTCCAGTTCCAGGTAGCCACAGGCATTTCTTGGCATGTGGCAGCATAACTCCAGTCTCTACCTTCATCTTCTCATGGCTAGCTTCCCTCATGCCAGAGTCTTTTCTCCTTTTTAAAAGCATGTCAGCCATATTGGATTAGTGTCCATCCTAAGGACCTCATCTTAACTTGATTTTATCTGCAAAGACCCTACTTCCTTCAGGAGGTTGCTACTGGTACAGAATGCCCAACACGAACAATTTAAATAATTTAAGTCCAATTTAAATTTTAATGATTTGTTTTGACTCATGATTTCAGAGGGTTGAGTTCATGGCCACTTGACTCCATGATTCTGGGCCTGGGGTGAGGCAGAGCATCCTTGTGGTGGAAGCATGTGGCAGAGGCTGTTTGCTTCATGATGGACAGGAAGCAGAGAAAGATAGGAAGGGGCCAGGGACTGGATGCCCCTGGGGACCCACTCCAAGTGACCTCCTTCCTCTAACTAGGTCCCACCATAATCTCATAAAATAGTGCCATCAGTTGGGGACCAAACTTTCAAAACATGAGCCTCTGGGGGATATTTCATATTTAATCCCTAACACTGTTGTTGCTTAGTTATCTATTAGTAAATACAAACTTAATAATAAAGACATCACAATTGTTTAAAAACAAATGTTTATTATAAATTCTACTATACTCCCCTTTCTTTGGACTACATAGGTAATTTTTAGGTTAGCATTCTGTAGATCACACCTAGCTACTGTGCTACTTGCTTTGGGAGGTTAACTTTGTGAGCATAATAGCTCTCAGATTCTTTCTTCCCACTCCTTTCTGGTGCAGAACCGGCTGCTCTACCCATCATCAATAGTGCATGGCACCTAGTTTGGACCACTTTGTACCAAGCTGTTGCTTGCCCAGGGATGGCGTTTGACCCAAGCTAGTCAATGAGAGTCCTTCTCTGGGATTTCTTTTACTACAGGTGGAAAGAGGAGGCACTCTCTTCTTCCTCTGATGAGCAGGACTGAGTAGATGGCTATGTCTCTTACCACATGGGGAAAGCAAGTAGCCCTAGGAGCACATGAAATCAGCAGACAGAGAAAGGCAGAGAGAGGAGGGGAAGAGATGGGAAGCTGGGGAAAGGGCATGGGAGCACTGATCTGGTGGTTTGGTTACATAAACCCATGATTTCTTCCCTGTTAATGGAATTAGTCCAAGTCTGGTGTCTGTCATTGCAAACAGCGCCAACTACGGCAGCAAAGTAGTTGCCCGCTTCTCTCCCACCTAGAGTTTAAAAGAATGAACTCATTTAGTACATTTTTATTGTAAGAAGGTCATGAATCACACCTGTGAGTTTTCAGATTTTATATGTGTGTGTGTGTGTGTGTGTGTGTGTGTGTGTGTGTGTGTATATATATATAGTTAAAAATATGTGTAGCTATATATATATATATATATATATATATAGTTAAAAGCCTGCAGACTGTCTCCTGAAGTAACTACAAAAAAATCCTTTCTTCTGATACTGAAGTCATTGTAACCTTGAGGGCATCTCTTTTCTAATCCATTGCACTTATATTTCTTTTTTACTTTTGGTGATACTGGGGCTTGAATTTAGGGTAGGCCTTTTACCACTTAAGCAACTCCTCCAGCCTTTTTTTGTTTTGGTTATTTTGCAGATAATGGTTCTAGAGAACCATTTGCCTGGGCAGGCCTTGAACTGCAATTCTCTTGATCTCTGCCTCCTGAGTTGCTAGGATTACAGGTGTGAGCTACTGGTGCCCACTGCAGTTACTGTATTTTAATCCAGTAGTTCACATTAGTAAAACCTACTAATCTTAGATTAAATGTATCTCATAAAATATGATTTTACTCTTTCAGGAAAAACATTCTGAAAGTAGACCAGCTAAAAAGAAAATTCCAAGAGATTATGCAGAATGGGATAAGTATGTTTCATATAAAATTTGTCTGAACACTGTTTACCATTAAATACTATAATAACTTTTAAAATAGATTTTATAAACCTGAACATACCAAGAATGCCAATTACTTTTAGTAAAACACTAAAGAATATCTAGCCAGCACCTTTTCTTTTTTTTTTTTTGACTTGAGTTTGAACTCAGGGCATCACACTTGTTAGGCAGGTGCTCTACCACTTGAGCCACACCCCCAGTCCTGTTTTTGCTTTAGTTATTGTTGTTTTTCAAATAGGGTCTCACAATTTTTGCCAGGTCTGGCCTTGGACTCTAACCTCCTACCTCTGTCTCCTCTTGTGTAGCTAGGATTACAGAAATGTACCACCATACCCAGCTTGTTTGTTGAGATGGGTCTTGATAATGTTTTGCCTGGTCTGGTCTCAAACTGCTATCTCCCAGATCTCCACCTCCCAAGAAGCAGGAATTACAAGCATGTACCACCACACCTGGCCTATGAAGCACTTTTGATCTTGTTTTTTCATTAAAAAAAGACCTACTGTATCCTTTTGTGTATAAAACCAACTAAAAAGAACTAATGTTATCTTTATACTTGTCCAAAATGAACAGAAACTAGTCACAATTTTAATTATAAGGTTTGGAACAGGTTAGCTCTAATTAATATTTAAGTCCCTACTTAATTACATGTTTTCTTAAGAAAGAATTCAGATGACTTGGAAGAAAACCCACTGTATTGTGCTTTGAGTATGTGTCCAAGCATAGAGTACAGGTTTTGAACATCCATAATCAGAAAATCTGAAATCTGAAATGCTCAAAAACTTCAAACTTTTTTAGCACTGTCACATCACCACAAGTAGAAAATGCCACTAAAACTTCATTTCACACACAAAAGTATTTACTACATTCAGACTATGTGTAAGGTGTATACAAAACATAAATGAATTCTGTGCTTTAACTTGGGTTCCATTCCCAAGATAACATTATATTTATGAAAATGATCCAAAATTGAAAATGCATCCAGTCCCAAATATTTTGGATTAAAAGATACTTAACCTGTGGCTGGGGGCCATGGCTCACACCTGTAATCCTAGTTACTTAGGAGGCAGAGAGAGGAGGATCACAGTTTGAGGCTAGCCCTTGCAAAAAGCTAGTGAGATTCCTTCTCAACAAAGATGTTAGATGTGGTGGTGCATACCTGTGTAATCCTAGCTACACAGGAGACATAGGTAGGAGGATCAAGGCCTGTGGCTACCACCAGACAAAATGTGCAAGACCCTACCTAAAACTATGAAGCAAAAAGGACTGGGGATGTGGCTTAAATAGTAGAGTGCTTGCCTAGCAAGTGCAAGGCCCTGAGTTCAAAACCCAGTGCTGCCCAAAAATAAAGAAAAAGATACTTAACCTGTAATGCAAATATAAAAATAGCAGTAAAAGATTTTATTTTCTTGCTTGTAATGTACTTTTTTTCAGTTTTTGTTTTTCTTCCATTTAAGATTTGATGTGGAAAAGGAGTGTGCAAAAATTGATGAAGATTACAAAGAAAAGATTGTTATAGACAACAAGGCACATCTGTCTAAAATTGAGACAAGCCTAGATACTGCAGGTAACAGGAAAAAAAAGGATTATTTAGTACTCTTTCATTTTTATTTAGCCTTACTGGGGCTTGAACTCAGGGCCTTGCACTTGCTAGGGAGGTGCTGTACCACTTGAGCCACGCCTCCAGCCCACATTTTAAAATTACAATAAAACCTATCAACCTAGCCTAGGAAACATGAAATGATGCAGCTTTCCATGGGGAGTTTGTGGATTTTCTCTTAAAGGTGACTGTCCTTTTTAACTACTTAATTGCACGTGAACCATAGCTACAAAAATTAAATTTGTAAGACTTCAAAATACAAACCTATATTTCTGTAATTCATTTGTTTTTATTCTTTTTCTTCAGTCCTCTTTCCTACAAATTCCTCTCATTTTTTTCTTTTTGCCTCACAACAAAAAGATATGGCTTTTTGTTTAAAGTCTGTAGATGACCTTTAAAGTAAAACAAAACCAATCATAAAAATGTAAATCCTCAAAAATTGTGAATGATAAAAGAGGCAAAATGCCCCTAAATTTAGGAATCCTTTTATTTTGTTTTGCTTAATTTATATTTTCTACTTCAGCTAAATAAGCACTCCTGGGTGCTGGGAGTATACCTTAGTAGTAGAATGCTTGCCGTCAAGTCTGAGGTTCTGGGTTCAGTTTTCAAAACTGTCAAACAAACAAAAAAATAAGCAAAGCAAAACATTGTTACAATATAGTTTTAAAAAACTATATTATTATGTTTTCACATATCAGATAATATTTACTTTTAGGTCTAACTGAAAAGGAAAAGGGTTTCCTTGCTACCCGGGAAAAGGAAAAAGGAAATGAGGCTTTCAACTCCGGAGATTATGAGGAGGCAGTGATGTATTACACCAGGTGAGCAGAGTCTTGCTGCTGAGACTTCCCACGTGAAATGTGCTGGTATAACTGCCAAGTCTGTGTAAGTTAGCTAGATAGTGGTCAGAACCAGTCAAGGCATTATACTTGTGCTTTTTTTTTTTTTTTTTTAATGGTGCTGAGGTTTGAACTTAGGTCCTATGCCTTGAGCCACTCCACTAGCCCCTTTTGGTGTTGGGTATTTTCGAGATAACTGTTTGCCTGGGCTGACCTTGAATGGAGATCCTCCTGATCTCTGCCTCCTGAGTAGTGAGGATTACAGGTGTGAGCCAGTTGTGCTTTGTCATAAATTCACTTGTGTTTGTCTTGTTTTTTTCTTTTTTCTTTCTTCAGTGCCAGGGCTCGACCCTTGGGCCTTGTCCATGCTAGGCGAGTGCTCTACCACTGAGCTACATCCCTTGCCCTGTCCTTTTTATTTTTAATGCTTTCCTCAAACTCATAAATAAGCTTCCGCCCTATGCCCACCTTTGACAGAGGACCTAAAGTTCCTATTTTATAGAGAGAATAGAGACCATCTCGGGGAATTTGATGGAAAGCCTACATAGTATAAAGTTTAAAAACCTAGATTCTGCAGTCAGGGTGCTGGACCTAATCCTGAAACTTAAGGTGGTCCCTCCCATCACAGGGCCTTTGCACATGCTGAGTCCTCTGTAGAATGCTCTTCCCTCCTCCCATTACTTAATACTAAATTACCCTTTAGAACGAATCCATTCTGTACTTTGGAGAAGTCTTCCCTAACTTCCCAGAGTGGGTAAAATCTTTACACTCTCCTCTCCCTCAGTTTATAGGCTCTTTCTCTTTCTCTGTTTTCAGTACTGGGGATTGAACTCAGGGCTTCAAGCTTGCTAGGCAAGCCCTCTACCACTTGAGCCACACTCCTAATCCTTTTGCTTTTTTAGTTTGTTTTCAGATAGGGTCATGTGCTAACTGCCTGGGCTGGCTTCCTCTCTGTGTCTCCTGAGTAGCTGGGACCACAGGCGTGTGCCTCCATACACGGCAGTTATTGGCCTCCCATGTTTGGGCTGGCATTTCTTGTAGATTTTCGGAAGTCCTCTGGTCTCTTAGGAGGATGACATTTTCCTTATCCTCTCCTGTGAGGAGTCAGTTGAAGAGTTTAGCAGGGAGCTCCTTGTGGGTGGTAACGAAGATGAACTGAGCTAGTGCTGTGTGTAAAGTGGGAGGGCTGCCGGCTACTCCGACTTCTCGCTTTCCTTGTGTTTTCCACGTCTGCTTTCTACCAACCATGAAATTCCTCTGTACCTGCCCTAGTGTCCTCAGGAAACTGATCCTGCTTATGACTTGCCCATTGTCATCTTCTTCCCTCTTCTGGATTTAGAAGACTTAATTCAGTGCACTGATACCCTTCCTTACATTTCTTATATTGGATATTTATCATTTCACAGCATTACAGATCAACTTTATAAGCCACAGCCAGGTAGATTTTAAGTTCTTTTCATTTTTGCACAAATATCCTTAATGTAGAAAAATTTTCTCTCGTGTGGGAATTCCTCATCCTATAACTACTTTCTTCTGTTTCCTTCAGTTAAATTTCTTCAGTTAAGTTACTTTTATCATCATTTCCTTAGAATGAAATCTAATTTTAGATTACAAACTAAATTGTTTCTTTTAGCATAGTAATGACTGATTACTCCATTTTTTTTTTGTACTAGGAAATTATTCTCAAGTAGCCAGAAAATGTTTGTACTTAATATTCACTAACCTATTTTTTAGGAAATCCATGAGTATTTAAATTTCTAAGTCACCTTGAAAGCCTGAGTTAACTTTTAGCCTATCAACTAGTTAAGCATTTGTCTAAATGTAAATTTCATAGGTAAAATTGTACTTCATTACTTTTGATAATGTAGAATATATTATTTTGCTAGGGCTGCCACCCCAAAGAGAAACTTACCTCTCACAGTTTTGGAGTCTGGAAGTCTGAGATCAGGTTGTAAGCGGGTTAGTTTCTTTTGAAGCTTCTCTGCTTGGCTGGAGGTGGTCATCTTCTCCCTGTGTGCTCATGTTGGTGTGTCCCTACATGTCTGTGCCCTGATGTTCTCTTAAAAGGGTACCAGTTTCATTGGATCACAGGCCACATGAGTGACTTCCTTTAAACTTAGTTACCTTGCTGAAGTGCCTGTCTCCATATATATTCATGCTCTGAGATACCATGGTGGCACTGGGATTTGAACTCAGGCCTTTGTGCAGCAGGTCCTCTACCACTTGAGCCGCACTTCCAGTCCTGTTTGCTTCAGTTATTTTTTTAATAGGATCTGGCTTTTATGCCTGGCCCTGCCCCCATAGCAATCCTCCTATTTACACTTCCCATGTGGCTGAGATGAAGGCATGCTCCACCACACCCAGCTTTTTATTGGTTGACATAGGGTCTCTCTAACTCTCTTCCTGGACTGGCCCCAACCCACCATCTTCTGAATCTCTGCCTCCCAAGTAGCTGGGAATACAGGCATACAGGCATGAGCCACCATACCTATGTACATGTGTGTGTGTATTTTTTTTTCCTGAGACAGTCTTGCTTTGTAGCTCAGGCCTTGAACTTGCTATGTAGCCTGGGCTGGCATCAAACTCACAATCGCCCTGCTTCAGTCTCTCAAGTGCTGGGATTTACAAGTGTGTACCACCATACCCAGCTAATATAAATTTTGAGGAACACAGTTTAGTCTCTACCTGGATTATAATTGTTTTCTTTACAACTTTAGCTGAGTTTCTCTGTGTTCTTATGGTTACCTTAGGCCTGTGTGTTGCCAACCAGTGTTTCTTTCTTAGGAGCATATCAGCATTCCCCACTGTGGCTGCCTATAACAATCGAGCTCAAGCAGAAATCAAGCTGCAGAACTGGAACAGTGCTTTCCGGGACTGTGAGAAGGTCTTGGAGTTAGAGCCTGGAAATGTAAAGGGTGAATACTCATAGAATGCTTTGAAATTGATAGAGGGACCATTCGGCCATCCGCAGCTATTTCACACATTTTATATTAAAATACTTCAGATAATTCCAAACATCTATATGTGAGTTACCGCCTTCATAAGGTTACTTTTAAATTTAAGTTTAACTTGAAATTTAAGTCCCTGATTATTTGTGTTGAGATAGCTAATAATCCTGAAAGATGGCCTAAAATGTTAGTAGTATCTGAAGGCACATGGGGGCTCTGTACTGCTTTGGCAATTTTTCTGTAACTGTCAGATTATTCCAAAATTTAAAAAACAAAAAGGTAATGGTTATGTCATGAATATCTCTTCTTAGAAATTCTCTTTGAAATCTGAGTAGCAATGGCAGTAGCAAAAGTATACACAGTGTTACAACTTTGGTTAAATTTGTGTCAAAATGATTTATCCTTTAGATTTCTACAGCATTCTTAGGATGCTAAGACTAAAATCAAATTGGCTAAATTTATAATTATATTTTAAAATTGCATATTAAAATATATCAGATATAAACTTACTACTTTTCAGAATTACTAAGCCTGATGTTTTTTCTAAAACATAAACTTACTACACAAAGTCCTCTCATAATATAATTGGATAATGATAGGACTAGAAAGGGATTCATACTTACTATTAAATAGTTGTAAAATTACATGTGGAAACCTATGAAAAAATCTGATACAAATTACCAAGTGCTCACTTCTGAGCGTAGTAGATCTAGTCGTCAGGATGCTCTTGGTTCCCTGTACTGAATAACTCTTTAGAATCATTTTAGAAGTGGCTGTAAATAGATTTGCTAATGTGCCTTATTTTGAACTAGATGCTGATCAGTCTTGTTAAATTTTAATAAGGGGTTTTCTAAGTTTTCAGAAAGTGGTGAAGTAATAGCAGTGATGATGATAAGAAGGCAAGCATGATTGATCAGTGGACAGCTTCCTGATGCTGCCCCACTGTGGTGCCTGGGCTGGGTGAGGGGTAAGGTGTGGAGTCTCTGAATCCTTGGAGGAGTCAGTAGAGCTTGGGGCTGCCAGAGGGTCAGGCTGTTGGTGTTGATGCTTCTGATGACTGCAGGATCATTTTCTAAGCGTTCAGCAACATGAAAATGGATGTATTTAAGCTTTCATCCTACTGTCCCATGCTACTCATATTTTTCCACTTGCAAAATATGTTATGACCATAATGCCATATGTGAAACATATAAATTATTTTGGTAAATTTTCAGCTCTTCTGCGTCGTGCCACTACATATAGGCATCAAAATAAGCTCCAGGAAGCTGCTGAAGATTTGAGAAAAGTACTGGATGCTGAGCCTGATAATGATTTGGCCAAGGTAAGGACAGAGTCATTTTTCCCTTAATTCTGTAGTTTGCTATTTCTGAATATATGTTAAAATGGTGTCAGTCTGCTGAATAAATTGTGTCAAGAATTAGTCTCAGCTTTAAAAAGTAGGTATGTTAACATCTATTCGAAGTTGAAAAAAGCAGACTCTTAAGAAAAAAATTGTACAGAAGTAGAAATCTACCACTTAATGACAGATACTTAATTTTTCTCTGTCCTATAGTACTTTTCCCTGAAGCAATTTCAGTTTATTATGCAGGGTGGCATAGACGTTTCCTAGGTAGGATTAGGGGTGAGCTCCATGGCCATAAAAGAGTGTTTCTGTCTGTTGCTAACATGGTAAGCATATTATCATTTAAAGCACACACTACCTGACTGAGTGGACTAACTCAGTTATGCGATCAGGGGCATCTGTATTAAGGCCTGAACAGTAGAGGTAAGTGTCAAGAACTGTGAAGGACCTAAGGTTTTACACCACTTGCAAATTAACAAAGTAGCTTAGCAGATGATAAAGATATCCCAGATCAGACAAAAAGGACTTTGTTACTCATGGCATACCAAGCAGATGAGCTCACATTCATGTCAGTTCCCCTTGTTCTCAAGTCCCACAGGAGTGATGCAGAGTGACCCAGATGGATGTATACACTCTGTGGGTTTGTGAGATGGCCGGGGAACCCAAACTTTAGGAGACCCATCTTTTGTGATGGGCTATAAGCAAATCTACCCAACCTCTGCTTCAGAGGGAAATACCTTAATCATACTGGAGAGCAAACAAACATCCTGTCCTCTAACAGGGAGATGCTATTTATATTTTTAAAGGCTATTCTTGGTACAAACATCCTTGAAGATAGTCCAGAACAAAGTGGTTTAGTGCCCCTGCTCCCAATATGGTCAGATTCAAAGAGAACTGCCTTTCAGCAATAAGTTGCACCTATGTTTCTTCATCTGACTACTGGAGTACTTCTGTTATTTCCTTTGTATGATGGTTACGGTTATTAAATATTAACGTGACAATATTCTAAAAGAAAAAATTCAAGACAAGAAAAACCACCTTTAGTTTTACTATCCAACACAATCTCATGTTTTTATATTAATTTTTAGGCACTTATTCAAAATGTATTTTTATCTTAACCACATGCAAAGATTAACTCAAAATGAATCATATACCTTAATGTAAAAATTCTAGAAGAAATTATAGGGAAAAGTATTTATTACATTGAATTATACAGATATTTCTTACATATGGCAGAGAAAGCATAATCCATAAAAGAAAACATTGATAAATTGGACCTGATCAAAATTAAAAGCATCTGCTTTTTCAAAGGCACTATTAGAAGGATAAAAAGATATGAGAGAAAGTGTTTGCAAGTCATCTAGTCCACAAAGGACTTGTATCAAGAATACATAAAGAACCCTCAGAAACAATGAATATCTCCTAATTAAAAAAACTTAATAAGAAAGTAAACATTTAAATAAGAAATAAGCAAATTTTTTTGTGTATGTATCTGTATGGTGTCAAGGATCAAAACCAGGGCTTTGGACATACTAGACGGTTGCTCTACCACTGAGCTATACTGTCAGCCCCAAGTAAAATATTTGATATTACAACTATAATGTAGAGATAGAGATATACAAATGGAAAATAAGCATCTAAGAGCTGGTGCCAGTGGCTCATGCCTGTGATTGTAGCTACTTGGGAAGCTGAGATCAGGAGAATTGAGGTTCAAGGCTAGCCCCAGCAAATAGTTTGCAAGACCCCATCTCCAAAATAACCAGAGTAAAATGGATTAAAGTGGTAGAGCACCTGCTTTGCAAGTGCAAAGCCCTGAGTTCAAGCCCCAGTCCCACCAAAATAAGAAAAAAAAAGAGCAAGTGTAAAGATCCTCATTAGGGAAATGTAAATTTAAAAGGTCAGTGAGATAAAAAGACTGATTATACCAATTGCTGGTGAAGATATGGAAGAACTGAAACTCTCAGGAATATAAAACAAGGACCACCTATTTGGAAAATAGTTTGATGATTTCTTAAAAAGTTAAATATAAACACATATACCTACTATATGATCTACCCATTCCACTCTACTTTTAAGTATTTACACAAGAAAAATGCAATCATATGTCCTTACAAAGACTTACTCTTGAATGTTCATAGTAGCTTTATTTGTAATAAAATTGAAAACAATCTAAAATGTTCATCAGCATGTTAATGGTAAACAAATGGCTAATCTACATAATAGAATACTACTCAGCAATAAAATGGAATGAACTGTTGATACACACAGCAGCACAGATAAATTTCAAAATAATTTCAACTAACTATGCTGGGTAAAAAGAGAACATATAGTATCATTCTATCTATTTAAAATCTTACAATGCAAATTACTCTATCACAACAAAAGGCAAATGATTGCAGAGAGGGGTAAGAACAATATTATACAAACCAGGAAGAAATCTTTGGGAATGGTGGAGATGTTTATTGTTATGTCAAAATCTTGTATTTTAAGTATTTGCAGTTTATGTCAATTATCCCTTATTAAAGCTGTTAAAAATGGGGGGATGGTTTGTTACATGTATTGTTTTCATTCTAATTGCCAAGAAGTATTTCAGAATTCCAACATTCTTCTTAAAAAACAGCATGTAGTATGATTTCATTTGTATAACACTAAACATCTCTGTGTGTATATATATATACATAAAAACATCTGGGAAAACCATCAAAATGTCAATAGTGTTACATGAGTGTCAAGATTTCAGGTGATTTTCTTTCTTTTTTTTTATACTTGTCATTCAAAGTTTTTCACAGTGAATGTGTATAATTATAATCAGATAAAGCAATAAAGTTGTTTTGAAAAACAAAGCAGGTCACCTTAAAATGCCTTATGTTATCTTTATTCATTAAAAAATATTCTTACCTGAAAGAATGATTGCATTTCCTATTAAAGAAAAACATTTTCTAATTTTTTGCCGGGTATTAAAGGGGGTTGAGGGGAGAGGGAGGTGGCGGGGTGGGTGGTAAGGGAAGGGGTGGGGGGAGGAGGGAGAAATGACCCAAACATTGTATGCACATATGAATAAAAAATTTTTTCATTAATATGGTGATTACATTGTAGAAGACCTTGTCAGAGGTTGAAAGAGATCTGAAAAATTCTGCATCTGCATCGAAGACGAAAACCAATGGGAAAAGGATGATTATTGAAGAGGTAGAAAACTCAGAAGATGAAGACAGAAAGGAAAGTGAAAGCAAACATGAGGATGGCAGTACAGATAAGGGTAAAACATCTTTTCTGTTTGGTTATGCTGTGAAAAACTACCTCTACGTAACAAGCTAACTCAAATTTGTTCCTTCCTTCCTTCCTTCCTTCCTTCCTTCCTTCCTCCCTCCCTCCTTCCCTTCCTCATTCCTTTCTGTTTCTTTGAGACAGGGTCTCACTATGCCTGGAACTCCATGTGTGGCCCAGGTTGACCTCGAACTCAGGATCCTCCTGTCTCCGCTTCCCCTGTGCTCATCTTCTAAAATTTTCTACTTGTAGGGAGATTAATGTAATCTCTACAATCCATTTTTCCCTCTTACTCTGGGTACGTTTTCTAGCACTAATTATTTCTGATTATTCCTTTTAATGTAATTGGCCATTTCTGTGTGACACCAAATCTTTGCAGCTAACCTTAAATTATCTTTGTTTGTTTTTTGTTTATTTATTTATTTATACTGGGATTTGCCTTGGTAGGTAGGTGCTCTTACTGCTTGAACCACTCCACCAGCCCTTATCTATGTACTTTTAAAGTTCAGTGAACTTTACATTTCATATTTCTTTAAGCTTTATTTTCTTATGCAACTGTTTGGCTACTCTAGTTTGCCTTTACATATAGGGATTTTTTTTTTCTTTTTCTTTTTTTTTGGTAGTACAGGGATGGAACTCAGGGCTTCATACCTTTGAGGCAGGTGTTCTACCACTTGAGCCATACCTCCCCTGAATATAGTTTTAAAATCAGTTTATTAAAGGCATATTTATTTTTCATGGTCTGTGCTTCTCCCATTTCCCTTTTTATTCAGTTACATTGGTTGTATAAATCACTTAACAATGGCATACATTTGATGACTATTTTACCTCAAGTCTTTTTGTTAGCTTACTAAAATTTACATATCTACTCATGGTAAAATAACAAGCAGTTTTCCTGTGTACACTCCAGTAACATATAGTAACTATAATAACAGGATGGCAAACATGAAGCAGTAAAAAATGTGCTGGTAATTTGATTGCAATCACATTGAATTTGTAGATCAATTTGAGGGCAGGAAAAAAGCTGGGCATGGTTCAGTCTTGTTTTATCCATTCTTACTAACCCTTTTTTTTTTGTGTGTGGCACTAGGTTTTGAACTCAGGACCTTGCACTTGCTAGACAAATGCTCTAACACTTGAGCCATACCCCAGACCTTTATTTGTTTATTTTGATGGCACTGGGGTTTGAACTCAGGGCTTCACACTGCCCCAGGCCTTTTTTGCTTTAGTTATTTTTCTGCTTGGGCTGACCTGGACCATGATTCTCCTATTTACCCTTCCTGTGTAAGAGAATCATAGGATCATAGGATCATACCCTGCACTACCACACCCAGCTTATTGGCTAAGATGAGTCTTGCTAATTTTTTGCCTGGGCTGGCCTCGATCATGATCCTTCTGAGTTCCTCCTCCTGAGTAGCTGAGATTATAGGCATGAGCCACCCCAATTGGCTACTAATTTTTTTATAGTTGGTATGTTTACCCATCTACACAAAAGAATCAATATGCTTTATTTAGTTATTGTTTGGTTTCCTGTTCTTTTTCCCTCGGTTTTTTATCCACTAGTTGCATTTTACTATATTTTTGGACTATTTGAATATTGTTCAGTTTTTAATTTGTTATGTGAATTTTTTTTTAAACTACATGTATTTGTAATCTTGGTGGTATACTTGGGTTTGAACTCAGGGTCTTGTGCTTGCTAGGCAGGAGTTCTACTACTTAAGTCCATACTCCCAGTCCTCTTTAGGGTTTTAAATATTCTGTTTAGAATGAATAGCTTAATAGCTTCACGTGTAGTGGAAACACCTTGTTACTGTGTCAGTCTCGTTACCCTCTCCTTGATGTTGTTATCATATGTATGACATCTATATACATTGAAAACCTTATCAAACAATATGATTTTTACTTTTGACCTTTTTATTTACTTTAAAGAAATAAGAAATTTAAGAGGAGAAAAAGTCTATTTTTCTTACTTAGATATTTATCATTTTTGTTGCACTTTGTTCATTCTTGATTTTTTAAATTTCCCTAAGGTATTACTTCGTTTACATAGGATTTCCTTTAAAGAAGGTCTATTAGAAATGAATTCTCTTAGATTTCCTTCATCAAGGCTATCTTTAGTTTACTTTCATTTCTGAAGGGTATTTTTGCTGGATATAAAACTAGGTAATCAGTTCTGGGTTTGACACTGGGAAAAACAGGGTGGCCTGTTACTTCATCTTCACTCGCACTTCCCTTCTTGTCAGTTTTTGTGTGTGTAAATGTGGGGTGGCCAGCACACTTGAAGAACTACGTATGTTTTTATGTGCATTATTTAATCCTTGAGGAAGGTGTAACTACCCATGTGTTTATAACTAAACAATGGAAACTTAGATTATTTGCCACATTTGCCCAAGTTGTAAGTCACTTGCCTAGCACACGTGACATGACCCAGCATGGTTGGGGATATGACCTCAGCTCTGTTTCACTTCACAGTCTATATCCTATAAGTGATTGCTAGATGGAAACTAAGAGAGTATAGGTTCTATAAAACCAGGCTAAACATTACCAGGCTACATTTTCACCTCAATAGATACCATTTGGTATTTATCCATTCTTATACTCACTGATATACCGAGAACTCTTACAGAAACTGCACCTTTGTTGAGGATTAAGTAAGTTAAAGACCAATGCAACTGATTATTTTTGAATAGAAAAGGCTTCCTCCAAAATAGAGATAAGCAGGAAAGGGCTAATCTTTTTGTTGGGGAACCGGGTATGGAGGGGAGAGCTGCGAATCAAACCCAGGTCCTCACATGTGGTAGGCAGTGCTCACTGCTGAACTGTGTACTACTTCTGTGGTTAGAAATGTGGATCAAGAGGTTGTGCATACTATCACTTCACAGATGAACAGATGCTTCTCCCTGAGGTTGCTGATTATCCCTGAGGTGGATCCATAGAGAAGCAACCTTCCCACTTAGATCAACCCTCTCTTATCCTGTCATTCTCTGCCCTCCCATGATTATTTGCAGATCAGGGCATATATAAAATATATAAAATTCAGAAAAAAAAATGACTTGATAGAAAGAATACAAATCTTAAGACCAGAGATTTCCTTTTATCAGGAAAGTGAATCAAGGTGAAGTGCAATAAATAGCTGGAAACTCAGAAGTAACCCTTCACTCTAAAACGAAATGAAATCAACTGAACTAGCTTGTGCTCATGACTACCAAGTTACCTGTTGGATGGTATGTGAAGAGAAGCCCCAGAGTCTTGGATGTGAGAGAAGCAATCCAAGTCACTTTTAGAAAAATAATGTTATAGTCCAGAGGGAAGTTATCAATTTAGAATCTTTGTGTTTTGTTCCCCATCCCACCACATTCAAGAAAGAATTCTTAGTCATGACTGGGTATGCTCTAGGGAGTCCGGCTGATCATGGGAAATGTAGCAATTCGAGCTTTGTAACCTTGGCAGATAGTGCTGCTGCTTTGAAAACTCCACTGGGGATGGCCAGGTCTAGTTGACCATAGCCCATTATCCATGGTTATGGTAAAATAGGAAAAATGGCAAAGGGCTATTAGCCTTATAATATGAACAGTTTTTACAAAATGATAAGGAAAAGATGAAGAGCCATTACAAAACTGGGCAAAGCATATGAGGCAAATCACTAATGAAGAAATATAAATGATTAATAAAATTTTTACTATTAACCCATGGATCCATGGGTTATGTCATGTTTAACAGCTGAAAATTACTGAGTACCTTCTCTGTGGCTTAGATAAGACAATTGGTAGGCTTTCTTTACCTACCTTTCAAAGGACTGATATTAAGAAACACCTGCGTACTTGCCTGGATGATTAGATCTAGGGATTTGAGTTTGTGGGCTTACTCTTAGAAGCTCCCCATCTGTTTGTGTTTTTCCTTCATCAACAAGATCATGTAGAAATGGCTGTCATAACAACTGTAGATGTCAGAGACTTGTACTTAATCCATCTACCTCCTTAACAGAGTCTGTGAGAAGCATTCAGAGGAAAGTTAGCAGCTAGCTTCCCTTGTAGTACCATTGCTTATTTTCCACTTAAAAGTGAAAAATTATAAGAAAAGTAAACAGTCACAAACAGACGAGTAACACAAAAATATTTCTCTTGCCCTAGAATTGGCAGGATCAGGAGTGAGGAAGGCCAGGATATCTAAGAGTTAAAGCAATGTACAAAATCATAAAGAGAAAGGTAAATAATTCTGACTATGCAAACCCACATACCTTAGACACCATTAAAAAAAAAAAGGCAAGTGGTAAAATGGGAAAAATGGCAAAGGGCTATTAGCCTTATAATATGAACAGTTTTTACAAAATGATAAGGAAAAGATGAAGCGCCATTACAAAACTGGGCAAAGCGTATGAATAGGCAAATCACTACTGAAGAAATATAAATGATTAATAAAATTTTTATTGCTAACAAAAATGAAAACTAAATGTAGATTTTTTTCTCCTATCAAGTTGGCCAAGATAAAAAAAAAAAAGTTCCTTACTGTCAAGAGGGAGGTGAAAAAATTTTCAATATTGAGATATAATTCATCTTTTTATTTTTTATTTTTAAAACTTATTTATTTATTTACTTGCAGTACTGGGGTTTAAGCTTAACCCATCTTTTTTAAATTTAGTGAATTTTAATATATTCACAAGGCTGTACAGTCATCACCACTATCTAAGTCCAGGACATTTTTATCATTCCCCCAAAGAAACCCACACCCTTTAGCAGTAACTCTTCATTCTTCCCTTTCCCTGGTGCTCCAGCAATTACTAATCTACTTTCATCTCTGGATTTGTCTGTTCTGTATGTTTCACATAAATGGAATCATATGAAATATAGCTTATTATATCTGTCTTCTTTCCCTTAGCATAATGTTTTCAATATTACTCCATGTTGCAACATGTATCACTACTTTATGTACAAATATTCCATTGTATGGATACCACATTTCCTTTAGTCATCAGGTGATGGACCTTTGGATTGTTTCTTCTTCTTTTTGACCATGATAAGTAACGTCGTTATGAACATTTATATACAATTTTTTGTGTAAATAGATATTTTAAATATTCTTGGGCATATACTTGGACACAGAATTACTGAGTTGCATGGTAATTATATGTTTGACTTTTTTTTTTGGCAATACTGGGGTTTGAGCTTGGTCTCACACTTGCTATGCAGGTACTCTACTACTTGAGCAATGCCCTTAGTCTTTTTTTTTTTTTGCTTTAATCAGATAGGGTCTCATGTTTTTACCCCAGGTCTGGGGACATGGGATCTCAGGTCTTTCCCTCACCCGACTCTAACAGATCCTCTGGATGTCTGACTCCCCAGTAGCTGGGACCCAGCTATGTTTAACTTCTTGAGGAACTGCAGGCTCCAAAGTGGCTATACCATTTTGTATTAGGGTTCCAGTTTCTCTAAATTCTTGCCAATACTTGTTATTGTCTGCCCTTTTGATTGTGGCCATCCTACAGGGTGTGAAGCAGTAGCTCCCTATGGTTTTCTTTTGTACTTCCCTAATGACTGTGTTGGCCATCATTTTACATGCTTATTGATCTTTTTGCTATTGTTTGTTTATTCTTTTTCTTTCCTTTTTCTCTCTCTTTCTCTCTCACTCTCCTTTTCTTTTGGGGGCTGGGGGTAGGGTCTTGCTTTATTATAGTCCAGGCAGCCTCAACTCTAGATTCTCCTGCCTCAGTCTCCCTGCTGACAAATGGCTTTTCAGATCATGTGGTTTTTTTTCCCTTTGTTCTGTTAATATGTCTTGTTAGTATTGAGTGACTTTCTAATGTTGAATTACCTTTGCATTCCTGCCTTTGCATATTTGGTCACAGTATATAATCTTTTTCACATGCTGTTGGATCACGCTTGCTAATTTTTTTTTGCATCCATAAGTATCCAAGCCACACTATTGGCCATTCCTTCCTTTGACATTTACTATTGTTATCGTCCCCAAATACTCTTGGTTTCTAGAGCAAATACATCTTCCTGGTTTTTCCCCCATTTCTAGGCATTCTTCCATCTACAATGGAGATTCTTTCCTCTGCTCATTCTTTAGGAGTATTTCTCAGGAGCCCTTTGGAAGCTCTGGCAATCCCATTTACACCCTATCTTCAATGCTGGTAACTTCCCAAAACAGTCTCTGGAAAAGGCCACTCCTTTGATCTATCTATAAAGCCACCTCCTAAGCAGCCTTTCTGCCTTGTCCCATAGGTAGGTCAATATCATGTAAGACTCCCAGGTCCCTGGTAACTTCTGGAGACTAAATTGTTCAGGGACATTTCAGTCTTTAGTTCAAATTCCAACTAAGTTAGTGACTTTCTTCCTGTACTTGAGCTAATTCCTAGCTTCTATCTGTGTGTCTCTTGCCTCACTTGTAAAGTGGAATGACACTACTTGGTATGAGGATTAGTGGTAACGTAGCTAAAGGTTTTGTGGGTAATAGCTTTGGTCCGACCTGAGAGGATGCTGTAGGAGGGGTTGGAAAACAATACTAAGTTGTCTGTTGTTTCTGCTGACAAACACTTGTGTCAACCTATTTTGTGCCACTTTTCCAAATTCACTTTGAGAGGAATTAAAAATCAGATTGACTTTAGTTTTCTTTCAAATTCAAAGGACTGTTTTGTTTTGTTTTGCTGGTGGTACTGCTACTGGGGTAGAACTTAGGATCTTGTGCTTGCTAGGCGGGCGCTCTTCCATTTGACATGCTGCCAGCCCGTTCGTTAAGGTGAGGAAAGAACACCCCAGCCTTGGGTGCAGTCATTGGTCCTTCTCCTAAGGTGTCAACGCCAGGTTGTATGCGCAGGCGTGGGCTGCGGAGGGAGTCCCTTCTGCATTGGGAGTGGAGCCCGAGCTGCCTGTGCAGCTCCGTCTGCCCCGGGCGGGAGGCACAGGCTCCTCCCGCGGGGCGGTGCCGCTCTGCGCCCAGTGTCCCGCGCCAGGGTCCGGGTGATGCAAACCCTGACTTCCCGCATCCGCTTCCCACAGCAGCCCCAGCCATGGGCAACATCCAGAAGAAGCTGATGAGCAAGAGTGGTCGGAGTGACGGCGGCCGGTTGCTGGCCAGGGCCCGGGTGCCAAGGCTCGGTGCGGACCAGCGGGGCGGGTCGCCGGCCACCTCCGCGGCGGGCGGCGGTGCCAACGGGCAGCCTGACGGCGGGCGGGGCGCCGGGGATCCCGGGGACCCCAATACCGCGGCCGAGGCCAGCACCGCGCCCAGCCCCGCCGGCCTCAAGAGCCAGGGCAACGAGCTGTTTCGGAGCGGGCAGTTCTCGGAGGCGGCCCGCGCCTACTCTGCGGCCATCGCGCAGCTGGAGCCAGCAGGTAAGGTACCTGCAGCAGGGCCGCGCTTCCCGCGCTCCTTCCCGGCGGCGACAGCAACCTGACCTGGGAGCGTGCAGGCGGCGCGTTGCAGGGTCCCTGCGTGGTCTGGACGCTCCGCGGCTTTGCGCCATGAGCCACAGGGTCTGCGGTGCCACCCAGCCGCATCTCTCGCAGACTGCTGCTGCTGTTGGATTTTAACTGTTCAATTAAATGTGATTCTAGGAAGCGAAAGTGCAGATGATCTAAGTGTATTATATTCAAATAGAGCAGCGTGTCACCTAAAAGAAGGAAACTGCAGTGGCTGCATTCAAGATTGTCACAGGTAAATAGCACTCTTTCAGATTTGTCAACTTTATAAATACAATGTTCAATACCCTGTAGTTTCTACACAAGGGTCTAATTTCTGAAGACAGTTGTGAGGTATGTTAATTGATTAATACATAAAAATCACAAACTCTCTATTGTCACACAAAAGCAGTTAGAGAAAATGGTGCAGACTTTTTTCATTTCCACTGCCCCCACCCTAATTCATGCTTTTTTCCTGTCCCTCTAGACTACTAGTTCTAGGTCATGGTAGCATCAGAATAACTTCTCTGGAACTATTGTTTGGCTTGGTTATTCACATTGGGCCTTTAATGACTCAGTATTGTGTTCCAGATAGTTGTAAACTTCTTTGGCACCACCTTGCCACCCCCAAACAAGTTTTCTGCTCCCACTCTTTCTGCTCGACCACTTCTTTCTACTCCCACCCTGCTCTCTAAGCCTCTGCCCACCTGTCCTTATGCCTCCCCAACCCCTGCAGAGCTGCATCTCCTTTCTTGTCTGCTCTCCAGGCTCCCTGGTCATGTGAAGGGTGGTAACACTTGCTCCAATATTGGTCACACCTGTAGGTCTTCATGTCACTCACTGCCGTTAAACTCCTTGAGGTCAGGAACCATGTCTTACACAAGTTAGCTCTTATGAAGTGTAATAGTCATGATGGCATGAGGAAGTTACTCCCAGGATGGATGAATGTATGTACTTGAATAAAACCTTGTTTCTTTAGCCATTAAGTAATGAGCCTGCCTCAGAAGCCCTTTGGCAGGAAGTTACTATTGGTGCATCTGAAAAAATAAGAAGTCCTGTTCTGGTGTGACTAACAGAGTCTTGGTTTACTCCTGTTGTTTCATGTAATTACTATTATTATCACGCCTTTTCACACACAGAAGTCCTAGTTTGGACAATAAATTACATGGATTCTCTGTTTACAGGGTGAGCAATTTATTTCTTTCATTGTTATTATCAGTTTACTTGGTATGGGTAAAGCTTCCCTAGTATCTGCGCCTACAGTTTACAAAGAAGGACTTGAGGTCCTTGGATTTTTGCCAGAGTGACATATCCAAATTTAACATAATATTTATATTTTGCCTTGATCCCATCCACAGTCATGCAGGCTCACTTGAGCAATTTGTTATATTTTAGGACTTTATGAGTTGGTTGATGTCAAGTTGGTAGCTTGACCCCTGCCATGGTTTGAATACTAACCCATGAACACTGGCAGATGCCACAGATCTGGGTGCTTACCCTTTTCCTTTTCCCAGAGAGCCTTTTATTATACCTTTACCACTGTCTGAAATTGACTAGACCATGTGAGTTTGTTAGATACAGGTGTGTTGTGATTTGCACCCAGCACCATTTCAGCTCAAGTGTCTGTTCTAATACATTACCCTTCAGGCTGGTTTTAGGCCCTTCTCCTACAGAGAGTGAGTAAGCTCTGGATTCTTTAGAGTTTGAGACCCCTAGACCAGCATGGTGCCGTACACTTGTAATCCCAGTACTCAGGAGGCTGAGGCAGGACGATTGTGAATTCAGGTCCAGCCTGAGCCACATAGTGAGTTTGTGGCCAGCCTGGGTCCAGTCTCAAAACAAACAAACAAACAAACACCCAAACTCGAGACCCCTGAAATTAGGATTGCTGTCAAACAGTGGACACTTGTCCTGAAGTGAGATTGTTTAAGGAAACAAACACAGGCTAAAATTCACTATTTCAGTGTAAACCATGAGGAAATCAAAGATGGGATTCTAGCCCACTCAGGGAGGCTAGAGTGGGTCTGGTCTTGGGGTAGAGCAGGAGATAGCCTACTTGGGAGAGAGGTAGGTGTCAGTTTAGGAAGGTTGTCCTTAGGTAAGAGCCATATTCTAGGCCAAGGAATCCGGCTCTGCTGGTCAGTGCTGACCTCCATACAGATCGACCTACTTAGATGTTTTCCTTGATAGCTGGCCTATGAGACCCAGAGGAAGGGCATGGAGGTGATGCCCAGAGTGGGTGGTGCTTTTATTCCAAAGCTGCGATTCTCAAACTTGTTTTAATGGCAGAGAAACCACGATTTGCCTTTGTGAAAGTGTTGAAATATAGCTGTATTTAAGTTTGTATACACTAGGAATAATTTATTATCAGACAGTATGACTATCCTTTTACTCCAAGAAAATTGCATACATTTTAAAGGAAGCTTCTATTTTAGTTTTTCAGTTAGTATCTTTGCTCTTTGAACAGCTCCATGAGCTCTCATATCTAGACAAGTGGTACCATGAGTCAAATATTGTAAAAGACAAAACCTAAAATAAGTGGAAAGGGGGAAACTTCACGCTGTGAAAATAATTTTTTATGGATCTTGGGGAAAAACTGCCATTTGACTTTAAGTCTACACTTTGAGGAGCACTAGTATTTCCAACAGGTATGTTTGGAGAACTACCATTGGGAGTGATGGAGATGTTTGAGGCATGACAGGGGCTCTGGGCTTGGTCCCTCCCCACACCACAGCATCTCCAGGCTTCTGTAGTAGGCCTCCAGATAAAACATGAAGAGAGGTTATGATGCTTAAGCAAAAATTTGAGCACCATTGTTCTAGAAATTATTTTTAATTTTCATAATTATTAGTTTAAAAAACCTTCACTTTTCCCAATTTTCATAGAAAGTTCTCTGCTTTTGCTTATCCTTGCTACTTTCTGATGGACTTGAAAGTAGGAGACTCTTTGGATGCTAACTGTGCTAACTTGAATAGATAGTCTCTTTTATAAGTTCTGGTTTAAAAGTTTTCTGGGCTTGTTTTATTACTGGGTGCTTTTTATTTTTAAACTTACTAGAATTTCAGTTCTAGCAAGTGCAGTGCCCTCAGTTCAAACCCCAGGATCACACACACAAAAAGAATAGAATTTCAATTCATAAGCTTATATTCATTTTCAAGATTGTAGTTATAGGAAAAAATAAACCTTTGCATTTACTATGCTAGGAAGTAATAAAAATCAAATGTCCCATTTATCAATTTTAGATCCCAAGGTTGACTCACGACCATCTTGATTGGATAAATGACACTTTGAACATTAGAAGTCTGCATGAAATAGAGGTCGTCACATAGTTGTGAGAGGGACACTTGTGCAGCCTTTTTCGCATAGTCAGTCTGCCCTCAGCGGATCACCACGCTAAGTTTAAGGCAGTGATGCATTGACACAGCCAGATGCCCAAGGGCCTGTTGTATAGTGCTTAAGTATTTTTACTTGATTTTAATTTTATTTTTAAATGGCTTTTACTGATTACAAAAGTAACACATACACTTTATCAGAAACTTAAAAAAAATAGCACAGCACAAAGATGAGCATTAAGACCATCTACAATTCTAACATGCCTGTAATCCTAGCTATTTGGAGGCCATAGGTAGGAGGATCACTATGCAAAGCCAGGGCAAAACTGTGAGACCCTATCTGAAAAATAACTGAAGAAAAAAAAAGGAGGGGGGGAGCGGGGAGGAGGGCTAGAGATGTGGCTTGATTGGTAGAGTATCTGCCTCAAAAGCATGAGGCCCCAAGTTCCAACCCTAGTACCACCAAAAATGAAACAAAACAAAGAAATAGTTATCTTCAAACAAAACCAAAGAACACAGCCTTCAACTACATCGTTAGTGATATCAGAAGCACTTTTGTAGACGAAAAAGTGTGAGATTAAAAAAATGCAAGATAAGAAATCAGCATATGTATAGTTGATTTCCTTCTGGTCTGTTTTGATATCTTTTTTACTAGTAAATCATAATGAACTACAGAAAGTTCTAGCTGATTTTTAAAATGCTATGCAAGTTTTTGTGGTTCTGTACTAAGGTACCTTATTAGATAGGAGGAAATAAACATTTCCTTTTCATCTATTACATGAATTTGTTGCATGAATCTATAACATGAAACCTTGCCTTGGGCCTGGGGCCATGCCGGGCTCTTTTAGGGCTCTGGGCAGTCTGAGGCATGCTGCCAGGGACTTACATCTTGGAAATGCCAGAGTGCTTCGGTACTGGGTTCAAAGAAAGGAGCCACAAAATTGATTGCTCTATACCTTGGGTTTGCCCCTGATGCGTTGCCAGATCCCTAAGATGACATATTTGAGAGTCTAGTAATGCAGTGTATACTCAGCTATACATTGCATAAATTAAGTATAAATTAAGAGTAGTTTTCAAGATGAACAGTATGTAACATTCTTATCTTCTTAGGGCTCTGGAACTTCAACCATTCTCAGTGAAACCTCTTCTGCGAAGAGCCATGGCCTATGAAACTTTGGAGCAGTTCGGGAAAGCTTACGTGGATTATAAAACAGCGCTGCAAAGAGACTGTGGAATCCAGCTCGCGAACAACAGTATTAACAGGTACTCTAATCTGAGGCACGAGCCAGTCTAGCTGTTTTGTGATAGAATCAAGTTTTCCTTTCCCCTCTTCAAGAATGGCATCAAAAAGTCCAGATGTGTTCTCAGCTGTTCGCCCTATTAAATCAAATGCCCCTCTTTATAACTTAGTTTCAAACTTTCCCTTCATACATTTTGAGTTGTCCTCTAGCACCTTTATATTTGTTTCTTAGTCCATTTATTATTGTGCAATGAATATTTTTTTTAACACAGAGTATAGCTCACACATGCTGCTTAAATATCTATGATGTTAGCAAGGTGTTTTCATGGATGTCATAAATCAGTACTAAGGATAGGACAAGATCAAAGATGTAGTGAGAGCTGCCCTGCTGAGTCTTCTCACAGGGTCTGCATGTCTCGTTGGTATGATGTGTGTCAGTGGGAACATAACTGCTGCATCTACTCAGAAGGGTGGATGTCTTCATATACTTGTTTTGTATGATCTTGTAAATTATACTCACCTATGAGGAATATTATTTTATAGTTACAAAATAGCAAAGAGTTTGGATCTAATTTATATTACAATTGACTTACCTCCTAAGTGAGAATGGGAAGAATTTCTAGGCTTCAGGACTGGGGCCTGTAGCTCAGTGGTAGCACATGTGTGCAAGACCCTGAGTTTGATTCCCCAGCCACTATACACACACACATACACACACACACACACACACACACACACACACACACACACACACACAGACAAGAATTCCAGACTTCATTGATTACTTTCAGGTGAAATTTGAAAATTATGAGTTACATGACATGTCTACTTACATATAATATTTTCTGATTGAATTTGTCTAATTATAACTTATCAAGTATTTATGTGCTATGCTGTACCCTGTGCTGGTCTAATGTGCCATGTCCCATTTCTCCTGGAAAAGGCAAAAGGGAAAGAAATGACATGGTCTCTGTCCTTCAGCAAACCAGAATATGTTTAGGGTGAAAGCTTAGTGTAAGGCAGAGTGTCCCCAGGCCATACAGTTGGTCAGACAGTGACTTGGGTTGCAGAGAGGTGAGGCCTGGCGGGGCCATACCTATGAGGAGAGAGTGTCTGAAGGTCTTTGAAGGGTGCTGGTGGAGCACCAGGAGACTTTGACCGGAGCTGTAGAAGTGAAAATGGCACGATTCACATTAACTCATTTTAAAATCATGCCCTGTCTTAGTGTGGTCACAGCTGTGTCACAGAGCTGACAGCTATTCCCTGAAACTTCCATTTGGTGATCACATGGAACCTGTCTGACCCCAGCTTGACAAGAAGATAGGGATGTATGTAGGTTGAACATCCCTAATTCTGAAAATCTGAAATCCAAAATGCTGCAAACTTTGAAACTTTTTGTGTGCCTAAAATACCCCATGAGTGACAAGCCGCTCTGACCACATGTGATGGGTTGTAGTGAAAATGCAGGTGTGCTAAAAATACTGCATTAGATTACCTTCAGGGTATGTGTGTAGGTGTATATGAAACAAACGAATTTCAGGTTTCTCTTGAGTCTCATTCCCAAGATACCACATTATAATATATGCAAATATTCTAAAAGCCGAAAAAAGCTTCCAAATTCGAAACACTTCTGGTCCCAAGTGTTTTGTAAGGGATCTCATCTGTATTGATTGGTTGTGGCAAAGCAGGATAGACTGAAGGTCAGCATCTGCAGCCTCCTTGATGGGGAACTGATTAAGTCAGGAGTCCTGCCCAGTGCTGCACAGCCCCACTGCCTGCCACCTGCTGCTTTGTATGTGCCTAAAGGCCCTGTCCCCATTTGGTCTAGTTTATTCTACCTCATTTTTTTGTCAAGGACTTGTTCCTATGGGAAATGCCTTTCCCTGCTCACCAGTTCTCCTTACCCTTTTTCAGTGCCCACAGCACCACACCCTTTCCTCACCTATTGTTTTTACATTCTCTGCATCTCTACATTTTTTATGAAATTCTTTTCCTATCATTGCACTGGGAGCTCCTTGAGGTCAGGAACTGGGGCATAGCCAACTCTGTAGCTGCAGTACCTTGTACAGCCAACTGCATTGGCTGAGTGAGTTCTCCCGTAGAGAAAGCTTAGTGTGCTCTTTTGCTTTGGGGCTTTACTTTTAACTTGCCCATCCTCTGGCGAGCATTTAGAGAAGAAGTAGGATCTCCTCACAGTCAGAGATTCTTGGGAAACATCAAGTGGGAAAACAGCTGAGACAGCTGGCAGCCAGGAGGTGCCTGATCAAAGATATTTCAAACCAAGTGGAAGGCTGAATGGTTTGTAGTAACAGTATGGTTTGAAGGGAGAGGTGTGTCTGAGAGACTATGATTAATTTCTCAACTTTAAAAAAATTGGTATAAAATTCATGTAACATAAAATTAACTACCTGAAAGTGTGCAGTTCAGTGGCATTTAGTAAATTCAGTGTCGTGAAACAATCCCTTTCTATTCCAGCATATTTTCATCACCCCAAAAGGGAGCCCTGTACCCACTGAACAGTCACTCCCATTCTCCTTCCCCACCTCCCCACACATCCACCGGTCTTCTTTGTCTTCCTGTGGCTTCATCTGTCCTAGATGTTTCCTATAAATAGAATCACATACAGTGTAACTTTCTGTGTTTGATTCTTTCATGGTTCATCTGTGGTGTATCATGCGCTAGTACTTGATTTTTTTATAGTTGAATAGTATCCTCTTACATGTGTGTCATATCACATCTTGTTTGACCATTCATCATTTGACGGGCATCTTGGTTATGTCCTCCCTTTGGGTACTGTGAACATTCATGAATTCGTTTTTATTTGTATGCCTGTTTTCGGTTCCTTTTGGTATAAACATAGTAGGAGTGGAATTGCTGGATCATATGGTAATTCTGTGTTTAACTTTTTGAGGTTTGTGTTATATCTTCCTAGGTATTCAAGAAAATTCTTCCTTATCAACTGACTTTTAAGACTCAGTCATTTTTTTAAATTTTATTTTTAAATTAGCATACATTAATTATACAAGGGGAATTATCATTGATAATTCCATACATGTGTATGTATACTTTGAACAAGTTCACCCCCTCCATTATATATCCATTGTTCCTTTTCTCTCTTCCCCTCTTTGTGGGTTTCATTATGCTTATATATATATATATATATATATACACACACACACATATCCATACATATATACACACATATATATACGTAGTATACTTTGATTAAGACTCAGTCAGTTTTTAATTGAATGGTTCTTGTTGATACATTGTTTTATAAGAAAGACCAGGAGACTTTGTCTGGTTTTGCTGTATATTTATATAAAATATCAAGTTTTAAAATTTCACTGTTCTTTGTAAATTCCATATTTATACTTGCTTTTCTAATTCATTATGGAAAATTTGGCAGCAAAAGCTTTTTTTTTTTTTTTTAAACATCTGTGGTTACTTTGTTTCTGTCTTCCATTAACCATATTCCTGTCTTCCTCTCCAGGACTCTTACTATGTTACATTTCCCTGCATAAGCTTACTTACTCCCTGCAATGCACCATCTCCTTTCAGCTGCTTCTTCTTTCCTCCCTACTGGTAATACAAATTTTGCTTAAAAATTCTTTTTTCAAAATCTTGTGGGTGTTTATGCATTAATTTTAAAGTTTATCTTTTTGCACCAAAACAATGAAGTTTAGTTACCATAGCCAAAGATTGCTGTTGAAATTTCAGTTTAATAAACTGTAGGAAAAGTATGTATATTTTAGTTGTCAATATGTAAATGTAAATTTTTTTCACACAAACAGTACATGAGCTTGCAAACTTTCCTAACTTGAATGCATTCTATTAATTACAGTTAACCTTCTTGGTCTTGGGAAATGCCTTTTAACCAGATTCATCCCAAGGACATAATTCGATTTTGTTTTTAAATCTAAGTGTGAAATTTTATGTTTAAAATAATAAGAAGATGAAAATTGAGATGTTAATCTGAATTGTTCTACGGTCATTAGTATAAGGGCCCTTGCAGTGTACTCTACTAGTTTTTCATGTTTACTCATATGAAAAGAAAATAAGTGAACAGTTTTAGAAGTGAAAAAGTACAAAACAAGACTGTCTTATGGCTCAGGCATGGCTCAAATGGCAGAGTACCTGCCTAGCAAGCCTGAGGCGCTGAGTTCAAACTCTAGTACCATGAAAAAAAAAAAAAGTCTGCCTTAGCCACATGTAAATGTTGTTTTAAGAAGCCCTGTTCTGGTTGGTAGAGTGGCTCAAGAAGTGGACTCCTGCCTCTAGCGAGTGTGAAGCACTGAGTTCAAACCTCAGTATTGCACATAGCAGCTAAGCTAGCCCTCACCTAGTTTTAGCACTAGTTTTATACATTCACCTTCAGTCACCATGCAGTTTGTGCACAGAAATTCCAAAGTACTTCTGATTATCCCCAAGAGTAATGCTTTATCAATTTACCAATTGAATTAAACATTATGAAGGATATTTCTTTTAGGGGCCTCAGTTTCATATTTCACTTTTGTAAGAATTAAAATTTTCTTGTATATATGTTGAGATTTTTAACAAATTAAAAAGTCTTAATTTTTTACTTTTGATTAGAAAATGGTCTAGCTGGGTGTGGTGGTACACACCTGTAATACCATCTATGTGGGGGGCTGAGGCAGGAGGATCACAAGTTCAAGGGTAATCTGGGCAACATAGAGAAACCCCATGTCAAAACAAAAAAAGAAAGGAAAAGAAAGTGGTTATGTCATTATGGCAACTTTTCAAAGTCATTTTAAAGACGTTTTAGTTTATGGAAGAAAATACCTCAAGATTGTATGTTTTCTCCAAAGAAGCACACTTAGGAATAGCACTTGCCATCTTACCCTCGATCTGACCTGCAGTGACATAGAAAGCAAATTCCATGATCAATGGGGAAAACTCATTTTCTCTCTAGAATAACAAGAATATTGATGGAACTAGATGGACCAAATTGGCGGGAGAAGCTGCCACCCATTCCTGCTGTGCCCTCTTCCCAGCCATTGCGAACTTGGTGTCCTGCAACAGAGATGACGCCAGGCCACACAGGAGATCCCAGTGGCCGTAGCCTACCGAGCATCTCAGGTGCGGGGAACCTACACTCATTTCCTCTGAGGGTCATCTTGAGCTGTGTGTGTTTCCCAGGTAACTCAGGTAGAAGGGCCTGAACTCTGGCATCACACCTGGGTTTAAGTCCCTGCTCCCCCTTTTTTAACTAGCTGGTCTTAAGAACTTACTTTATTCCTCTCACACCTTAGTGTATAGGAAGGGGGAGAAATATGAGTATCTCATGAGGTGGTTCACAGGAATAGATGGAGCTACCATATACAACGTACTTGATACATGTGCTGCCTGTGTAGGCCTCTTAATAAACATCAAGTTAGCTTTATTATTGAGAAGAACAAGACTGTATGCGACAAACCTAAAAGAATAAGGTCGATAAAATGATAAGACATAAATATATATAGCAGGAAATTTGGGGTGGGGGATAGATATCCATGCTGGCTTTAAGAGGTTTGCTTGATATTATTCATAAAATAGTTATAATAACACTGAAGATAGTTATATCTTCCCTCCATAGATTGATTTTGCAATATCTACAGTTTAAAGTGTTCCTTGTACTGTTGTCCAAGTGCTGTCTGAGGCAGTGTGCATTGAGTCACAGAAAATACTATGGGCTTGTTAGATCATGTGAGCATCCAGGCTTGAGACTCTGCTCTTGTCACATGGTACCTGGTGTCCTTGTATGACCTGATTCACTCCATCTCTCAGGTAGTTCTTACCTCTGTTAGTATCTCAGACTCTTGAGAGAAAAGAAGACATGGCATTATGGATAACATGGCAGAATTACTTGTATTTTCTGTTCTAATTTGAAAATAATAGTTTCATAATTATATAATTATTTTTACTTATAGCCAGCTTATTTTTTAAATTTTTATAAAGTTTTTTTCTGTTTGGACTTGTTCTGCATGGTACGTGATCAAGTTAATTTGCAATAACAAAAGATTTACTCATAGCTGTACTTAAGATTTTGTAGAGGCCAGGTCTGGTGGTACATGCCTCTAAACCCAGCTCCCTGGGAGACAGAATTTGGGAGGATTGAGGTTTGAGGCCAGCATGTGCAAAAAGTAAGACTACGTCTCAATCGTTAAGATATTTAAAGTAAAATAGAGGCACGATTCTCAACCAATAATCCAGGCATGGTGGTGCACCTGTCATCTCCACTATGCGGAAAACATAAGTAGGTGAACTGCTGTCCAAGACCAGCCACTGGCAAAAACATGAGACTCTATCTGAAAAATAACCAATGGCAAAAAAGGAATGGGGGTGTTGTTCAAGTGGTAGAGGGCCTGCAAGTAAGCAAGTGCAAGGCCGTGATTTCAAACCCCCAGTGCTGCAAAAAGAAAAAAGAAAAGAAAAAGATTTTGTAGAGTTGCCCACATGAGTCTTTCTTTCTTTCTTTCTCTCTCTGGTCCCATAGGTGAACAAATGTTTAAAGCCCTTAAGGAAGAAGGAAATCAATACGTAAAGGACAGAAACTATAAAGATGCTCTTGGTAAATATAGTGAGTGCTTAAAGAGTAACAACAAGGAGTGTGCCGTGTATACAAACAGGCAAGTTTTTTGTAACTTTATGTTTCATATAAATAATTTTAATTACTTAAAAATTAATAGATTCTAACAAACTAAATTAAGCTAATTTACTTTATTAATTAATAAGGTTAATTAGTGCCAGAGTTTTACATCGTGGATTTAGGGAGTCCATGTGGCCAGTAGTCCTGAGTGAGCATTTCTGAAAGAGCTGTGGCCACTGGAGTTGTAGAGGGAGTGGGAACATGAAGTCTGGGATGGATGGGGGTTTGATGTCCATGTCACCAGCTTTCATGAGCTATGCTTGCTGTGTGGGCTGATGCTACACTGATTCTGCACTTCCTGGCTACCTGGAAGCACGCTGGGCCTGGGTGCTATCTAGTGTGGAAGGAGTGGGAACAAATGGCCTTTCAAAATAGTGTCTTGTGGGGGCAGTGTGCCTTTTAATCTAAAGTGCTGAGGGGAAGGACCAGCATCTTTTATAGTGTACAGTATGAATAAGCAGATTGTTCTGGAATGATGCTCTGGTACCATCTTTACCATTTTAGAGGTGAAAGACACCTCAAAATGTGATTTGGATATTTTTAGGGGGTGAGTAGAGTTTATGTGACAGGAGGAATAAAGGATAAGTTCCAGACATTTTCCAGCTATTTCAGATAAGTTCTTGACTTAGCTTCTCACCATGTTTTTTGTACATGTTTTCCTCTATTAGCAACCTTTTTCCCAAAAGCATTGTCATTAAATTTAGCAGATGTTTTTCTGCCTTTCTTCAGTCTCTGCTATGCTGGACATCACTGGCCACTCAGCTTTCCATGTAGCTCCTTCCCTCATGGCTGCAGTGGCAGGCAGCTCATTCTCTGCTTCTCCTTCTCTCCCTCTGCAGGCTCATTTCAGGTTCAGAAGGTCTAGAGTCCTTATTCGTTCTGTATGCTGTTGAAGCTGTCTCATCTCCTCCCTCATCTGGCTCCATTGTGTCTCCTGTATCTCTGTTTTCTTTTTTTTTTTTTTTCTTTTATTATTCATATGTGCATACAAGGCTTGGGTCATTTCTCCCCCCTGCCCCCACCCCCTCCCTTACCACCACTCCACCCCCTCCCTCTCCACCCCCACGCCCTCGATACCCAGCAGAATCTCTGTTTTCTTAACTCTAGACCTGAAGATGAGGTATCTTCAGTGCCAGGGCTGTTAATCAGCCCCGGCTTCCCTCTTCTAGGCCGTCAGCAAGCTTGGAAAGGCCCACTTTCTAAATACTCCTTAAGAGTCATCTGCCTGTCTCCTTGCCACCACTCTGCATCATCTCCTTCAAACTGTCGGCAGTCCCATCATGGTACCTGTGCATATTCCTATTCCCTCCCGTCTCAGTGAGCTCCACGTCGTTAGAGGGAGTGTTCTCTGTGTCACCTCTGTTAAAAACCCTTCACAGGCCTCTGTTAGACTCAGGATAAAACCAGTCCTCTTCGCTGTGTTGTAAAGTCCCTTCGTCTTCTGTCCTACTTTCCCTTCCAGCCTCATCCCTACACTCCAGGCATGCAGAGCCTTAGTTCATCAAGTGCACCGTGTTCTCCCATTGTAGGTCTGTGGATGTGTTGTGCCCTATTCCTCCCTCCCTCCCCCTTAACCCTCTGAGCCTAGTGCCTTGGCAACAGTTCATTTGCACTTGATACTCCTTGTTTCAACTTTAGTGACATTATCTTCCAAGAGGTCTTGCCTGAATGCTTTGCCTCTTGCTTCTGTCCCACAGGATCTGTTGTGGCTTTCAGAGCACTTTGTACAGGTTTGATTGTGTGTGTGTTGGCTTATTTTAATTCTCTGTCTCCACCAGATTGCATCCTCCTTGAGGGGTGGGGCTGTGTTCTCTTTGCAGTTCTATCCCCAGTGCTGGAATGCCATCCACTGTAAGAGAGTGTCATAACTGGAGTCGTGTTAAGTTCCAGTTGAAATGGCTGTGGAATTGAAATAGACTTGCTGAGCTGTTTCTGATTTTCACTAGCTAACTACAGATATGCTATCTTTACTGTTCCTAATACTGTGTTCCCTTGTATTATGCCAGAGCTCTCTGTTACTTGAAATTAGGACAATTTGAAGAGGCAAAGCAGGACTGTGACCAGGCACTTCAGATAGACAATGGGAATGTGAAAGCATGCTATAGACGAGCACTCGCTCATAAAGGACTCAAGGTGAGGACACCTAATTTTTCCTATGTAAATTTCAGCTGTGAACAAATCAAGTGGTGCCATGAACATAAATCTTGGGATCATGGAACGGGAGTGAGAGTATCTGGGATTAATCTCAGTGCTGTACTAACCTGTCCTAAAACTTTGAAATAGACTTCTGATTTTATCCCTCTCTAAAAATATGGAGCAGGTAATTTCTAAAGTTCCTTCAGCTCAAAAATTGTGATTTGTTTTTTAGTTTTCTAAGGAATATTAATTACAGTAGGTTCGTTGTAAGGCATAAGGTTTATTACTGCATTACTGAAAGCCACTAGCAATGCCACTGGCTCCTCCAGCAAGGTTTGGGGTTGGGGGTGGGTGGGGGAGAGCCTCTGAGTGGAAGATTGGGCAGCCATGGAAATTGGTGGAGACAAAGACATACCAGAGATTGGGAAGCTTGTAGTGACCTGCTCCTTAAGCTGGCTGATGGTCAGTGTGAAACTACAGAAGGCATTCTTCCCTAAGAAAGCCCCAACATTGTTTTAGAAGAAAGAGGGTGTTGTATGTCATACTTCTCCTTATGAAGATTCTTTTGCATGGAAATCTCAGCAACAAGTGTTCATGTATGTAGAAAGTAGTATCACCAGGAAAACTCAGAAAACATTGGAAGATGCACTTCTTGAAACTTTTTTTTTTTTTTTTTTTTCAGTCTGGGGCTTGAACTCAGGATCTTCATCTTGAGCCACTCCATCAGCCCTTTTTGTGTTAGGTATTTTCAAGATAGAATCTTGCAAACTATTTTGCCTGGGCTGGCTTCAAACTGCGATCCTCCTATCTCTGCCTCCTAAGTAGCTAGAATTACAGGTGTGAGCCACCTGTACTTAGTCTGAAACACATTTTTAAAAAAGCAGTTTTATTAAGGTCTAGTTCACACATTGACTGTTTTTTTTTTTTTTGGCAGTTCTGGGTTTGAACTCAGGGTGTCTTGCTTGCTAGGCAGGCACTCTACCACTTGAGCTACATCCCAAGCTCCAGGTCATTGACTTTTGATAAGTGTTTTTCCCTCCTGTAGCCACCAACCCAGTCAAGATAAAGAACATTTCCATCTCTCTAGAAAGTTCTCTGTGCCCCTTTGCCATCTACCTCTCTCTGTGCCTGTCCTAGTAACTGTTCATCTAATTTCTATCACTATCCTTTTGTTTCTTTTTGGCAGTACTGTAAGTACTCCACTCTGGGTTCTTTTACTCAGAACAATGTGAGATTCATCCATACTATATCAAGAATTCTTTTTATCACTGAGTTGTATGAATACCACTGTTTGTTTATATATTCACCAGTCGATAATAGGTTGTTTCCAGCTTGGAACTGTTACGAACAGTTTCTATGACAGTTTTGTACACATTTTTAGGGCTTATTTATGAACTGTACAGTTGGAAGCCAGAAGCCTGTGAGAGTGAGGATGGAGGGAGATAGCCAGATCAAGGGGGGCCTGGGAAGCCATGCTGAGGAGGCTGAACTTGATCCTTGAGGTGATGGGAACCACCAAGGGTGTGGGGGGGTGGCCTGATGGTCAGATTTGGGGATACCATGGAAGGTATATCAGAGGGGCATCTGTCCTGTAGTAGGAAGGTAAGTGAGAGGCCACCAAGTAGAGAAGCAGTTACCTGGAGGAAGGTAATGGCAGAGGGAAGAGAGAAAGGAATATTAGTTTTCTTGGCTGCCGTAGCTAACTGCCACAGACTGGGTAGCTTACAAAAGGGAAATTTCTTTTCTCATAGTTCTAGCAGCTAGACGTCTGAGATCAAGGCAGGGTTGGTTTCTCTGTGTCCTCTGTCTTTGGTGTGTAGATGACCATCTTCTCCTGCATGTCACAGTCTTGCCACTGTGTGTGCATCCGCCTATAAGAACACCAGTCATAGTGGAATAGAGCCCATTCTAAGGAACTAATTTTAAATTGATAACCTCTCTCAAGACAAGTATGATACGTTCTGAGGCATTGTGGGATCAACACTTGGATTTGGGAGTGGGAGAGACAGATTCAGACCATAAAGAAGGTAAGGAATTAATTCAAGATTGTTTGGTGATAAAGTTGGCAGAACATAGCAGCAAAATGTCTGGGACTAGGAGAGAGCTTCCTCCAGGCCTCTGGGGTGGCAGAAGGGTGCATGGTGATATTGGAGGGTACAAAGCAGTGGGGACAGGCATCAGGGTTGGGGTGGTTTTGACCTATTGAGTTGGAGATAGTTCTTTTAATTCTAGCCTGTCACTAAAAGGGGAGATCTAGGTTCTGCTGGGAGGAGGGGCATGTTGTTGCATAGTGTACCAAATGAGGACCATCTGTGTGCATGGAATGACCAGGCTTTTCTAGATCACAGACCCACTCAGGCTGCAGTAGAGCCATGCCTGCACTTTCCACCAGGACACATTTATGGGACACATCTGAGGGACCCATCAGTGTCCCTGTGACCCTGAGGTCCCCACTGTGCCTGCCCTCCCCCTCCCCTGCACACTCCTTTGTAAGCCCCATTTAAAGATTTCCTATATGGTGTGTGGCACCATGAGTTAGAGACTCCTTAAAATTTTATTCTTTAAGCTAATGAATTTGGGTAAATGAGGGTAGATCTGCATGATTCATTTAAGTCCATACTCTTAGAGCAGGTCTCCTTCATATTGTCTGCATGTCTCTGTGAGCCTGTTTACCTGACTAACAATCAGAGGCTGTACCTAATGAAGGACTGGAATTTTATACTTCTTGGAATGAATTCTAGAACGATAATCCCAAATTTGAGTAATCCTATCGTACTATAGATCATGACACTGGTAGCTTGTTTTTCTGGTTTTATTTTTTCTAGCTTTATCTGTCCAGTAGGCTGAGTTATGTGTTAGGTGAATTTAATTTCAGGATCTTCAAAGACTACAACTGCTAATAGAATGCATCAGAACTCATACTTGACTCATTTGCCCAGAGTGACTAATGAGGAAGTGACACAGGCACTCACCTGTGGCTCCCTGTTGGACTTGCTTTCTCAGATCTTGTCTTCTAGCTGGCTTCAGTAGTGCATACGTGCATGCATGTGTGGGTATACCAGTTTTGAAAAATATGTTTGGGAGAGGGAGTGGGTGAGGGGTAGAGGGGAGCAATGACCCAAACAATGTATGTACATATGAATAAACAAATATAAATAAAAAGAAGAAAAAAGAAAAAGAAAAGGTGTTTTAGCAATCTGGGTTTTTTTGTTTTTGTTTTTGTTTTTGCAGCACTGGTGCTTTAACTCAGGGCCTACACCTTGAGCCACTCCCAACCCTTTTTTGTGATGGGTTTTTTTGAGATAGGGTCTTGTGAACTATTTGCCCAGGCTGGTTTTGAACCACAGTCCTCCTGATCTCTGCCTCGAGTAGCTATGAGTACATGCGTGAGTCACTGGTGCCCAGCTAACATTCTGTTTTAACATTCTGTTTTTATCATGTATTTCTCATTGAATGTTAGTTATTTGCTAGTGTTGTTAGTATAAACGTTAAGACATGGGACCTATTACAGAGTTTACAGCCAGTAGGGAATGCTGCAAGGCCAAAATTATCAAAAGAATAATACCTTACAAAATAATTACTCTCATAGTTTAACCACATCTAGTAATAGTAAATATCACCAACATATGTGATTATAACTGTGTCTTTTTAAAGGGCCTGTTGAGGTTTAATGACTTTTTGCCAAAGCCACGCTTTGTAAGCTCTGCTCTCCCTTGTATTCTACATGGCTGCTTTCTCTTCAGGTCTCGCCTTGACCAACAACTACAGCAAAGGGAGACTCATTAGTATCCATCCCAAACTTTGCTTAATTGCATCATGACGGTTTGTAATTATTTTATTTATTCACTTGTTTTTTATTGTTTTACCTAAGACATCAGCTTCCATAAGGGCAAGGCCCAGTCTGTCCCTATTTGTCACTGTGTTCCAGGCTCTGCACACAGGAGCTGCTGCTTGACCAATGGTGAAGTGAATGGACCCTCATCTCCCCTTATGCTGTCCCCTCCCTTTCTGCTGTTCTACCTTCTCACACTTGCTGCGTCTGTGTTAGTTTTTATCAAAGTGCACTTCCTGTTTTCTCATGGCCCTTCCAACCAGATAGACTGCTGTTGAGGCCTTTCTTGATGGAAAGTGGTCGTAGCTTCTCCTGCGTGTTGAACTTCATTTCCCAGACTACAGCTCACAGACCTCACGAGGGATTAGCAGCCATCTTCTGGGCAGGGTCGCTCTGATCATCACAATGCTTCTTTCTTCATGTCTCAGTTCCCTCACTTTCAGAATGGGAAAATAAAAGCTGGCGTTTATAGGGCTATTATGAGAGTAATACTTGTAAAATTCTTAGAATGGAAAGTTAGCTAGCTATCATGCTCCCTCAACTTGCCTTCCTGCCTCATTCCCTTGCCTTTCACCTATCATTCCCCACTTAGGACACTTAGGGTGTAAATATGATGTCAGTTTCCTTCTGGTAGGCTCTATCTGTGCTGTTATAACACAGTGATATGTGCAGAGTTGTTACTCATGGGACATAGTGCAATAAGTTTCTAAACAATTTCCCATTTTTATAAATTAGAGCGCAGTTAAGGTTATCCCTTTACGTGTGTCACTGTTGCTTGGGTGTTGCTGAGGAGAGGGGGAAGAAGGGATGTGGCATTACAGCTAGTCTCTTGGGAATGTCACAGAAACACTAGTTCAGTGGATCTGTGGCTCAGCCTTCAGTGCATGCTGTTATGATGTGACATGAATACTTAAAAGAGGCTGCAATTCTCTCTTCTCACAATTTGGCTTAATCAAAATAAAAGTGTAGTTTGTAATTATACAATGTGGCTTGTCACAGCAGACTGATTTTGTGTCATCTGTCTTCTGCTTGCTTCTAGAGTTAATCTTAGATTCCCTTTCTTTCCCCTCAAGCTCTCCTATACATTCTCTCTTAGGTGAGGTTAAAGGTTGACCACAGCTTGTTTTGAACAATGAACAACTTTGGTTTTATGCAACAAGAGTGTTAGAATAACAACTACCATTTTTGTAGTCATGTATAGGGTTTTTTCCCCTCCTGGTACTGGGGGTTAAAATCAGGACCTTGCACTTGTTAGGCAGATGCTCTAGCACTTGAGTCACACCCCCAGCCCTTTTTGCTTTAGTTACTTTTTGAATAGGGTCTCACATTTATGTCTGGCCAACCTGGACTGTGATCCTTCTATTTATGCTTCCCACATAGCTGGGATGACAGGGGAGTGCCACCATGCCCAGATTTTATTGGTTAAAATGGGGTGTCTCAGACTTTCCACACTGGCCTCAAGGTACAATCCTCCTGATCTCTGCCTCCCAAGTAGCTGGGATCACAGGTGTGGGCCACCACACAGGCCCACTTACCGCACTGGTTTAAAGCACTCATTTTATTTATTCCTTGGTACAGCCTAGTGAAAATTAGAGTAGGGTTTTTATCATATTTTAAATATGAGAAAACTGAAGGTCATTTTGCTTTGTTGATGAGGCTGCCCTTGAATTGCTGGGCTCAAGCAATTTTCCTGCCTCAGCCTCTTAAGTAACTGGGACTACAGGTGTGTATACAACACTGCCTGACTTAGGATCTTGTTAGTTTCATTACTAGTAGGGCTGATATGAGGAAGTTCATTCTTTCACTTATTCACTCAGTGAATGAGTACCTACCTCTTGTTCATGGCAGGGAAGGTTGTGGTGATACAGGATGAACTCAGGTTTTCTAACTCCACATTCTGACCTTTTCCTCAACAGTAGATGTTTGCTGCATTATGGGTTATACTATTTTTTAGCTGCAGACTCTCCAACAGGCTCCCTAAGAATGACAGTAATGGGAACTCCCTGCACAACTCACTTTGTCACTTACACTAATTGAGGCCATAGGGGTCTTTTATTTATGAAAATTATTTTCTCTGTCTTCCTATCTCAGAATTATCAGAAAAGCTTAACCGACCTCAATAAAGTTCTCCTATTAGATCCAAATATTGTTGAAGCAAAGACTGAACTGGAAGAGATAACCAGAATCCTTAATTTTAAGGATAATACAGCATCACCCAGCAAAAGAAAGGAGAGAAAGAAAATTGAAATTCAAGAGGTATTTGTTGTATTATTTTTGTAAGTATTCTGGAGATTGTACATAGAATTTCAGGTCATACTCCTATGAGTCCTACAAAATTCTTTTTATTCTGCTGGTCAGTGAAATATTTCAACCAGTTTTGTAAAGACAGAAGCCGTCCTTTGCCATCATAGTCAGTCATTTCTCAGCGAGGTACCATGGGTGATGTTGGGTATCCCTATTACTGCAGTTCTTGTTTTCTTTGCCTCCTCCATCTGGCTTGTATGTGCACTGCTGCACAGTGCACTGGAAGCCCTCAGCCTTCAGGCTTTGCTTCAGGGTAGACCTGGAGAATCCTGACAGGTCTGACTCATTTTCAGGGGCCATGCAAGCCACACTGCATGGAGATTTTCCAGGTTGACTCAGCCCTGAGTCATTAGAGATCCTGAGTTCCCCTGGATCTTTGTGATTTCCAGTAACTCAGATGTTTTGCTTTGCTATTAATGAAGAATGTTAGGCCACATATTCCTGTACATTCATGAATGCTAATACCTTCTTATTTGTAGTTTCACAGCTCGACTCAGGTGAGAGGCTAATGGGTCAGAGAAGCTATAAACATTTTTTCCCTTTAGAGGAAGAAAAGGTTGTTTTAGAAGACTTGAAAGGCTAGAAAATTTTCTTCTTTAAGAAGAAAAGTTGGGGGTGGGGCAGGGGGGAGAAATGACCCAAGCCTTGTATGCACATATGAATAATAAAATAATAAAAAAAATGAGAAAAGCAATTGAAACATGTAAGCTCCTTTCACTGTTAAATGTAAGGAAACTGAAGCAAATTAAAATTTATCATGAAAGAAAATTTATAGAGGTCTTCAGTTGTACATTTTTATTCATTGGAAAGCTCAAAACATAAAATTTCATTACTTTTTAATATACAATAGTTCTTAAAAGCTTCAAAGAATACTTTTATGAGTTGAATTCTCACAACCTAAAACTTCTCTAAAGAAATTATAGATTTTACAATTTATTACAAATTACTTTTATTTTTTCAGTTAGAACTTGACTAAAATACATTCTACTATGGTCTTCAATTCTTCTTGCAAATGTTACTTAGGATGTGTGTGGTGACTGATATTCAGTGTCACAGTGTAATTTTTTCCTTGGAAGGTAAATGAAGGCCATGAAGAGGAACCTGAAAGAACCTCAGAGGTCACCCCTGACTGCCTGCCTTCTGAGAAAGGGGATGAAAGCAGTAGGCCTCCAGAATACTCTGAAAGACTTCACATCTTCAAGCCTAATAATGCCTATGAGTTTGGTCAGATTATAAATGCTGTCAACACTAGGAAAGACGAGGAAGCCTGTGCACGCCTTTTAGCCATCACAGCACCAAATGACTTGCCAGTGTTGTTGAGTAACAAACTTGAAGGGGATATGTTCCTTCTCCTCCTTCAGTCTCTGAAAAATCATCTTATTGACAAGGATCCCTCCTTGGTGTATCAGCATCTTTTGTATCTCAGTAAAGCAGAAAGGTTTAAGGTAAGCAACAAATTATTAATAGAAATGACCATTTTTGGAGTTTCTATAACTTTTAAAATGTTATTCATGCTAATGTAACTTTTTCCTTCTTTCAGATGACATTGACACTAATTAGCAGAGGCCAAAAGGAGCAAATTAAACAGCTATTTGATGATCTTTCAGACACACAGACCAACCATTTTACTTTAGAAGATATTCAGGCCCTAAAAAGGCAGTATGAGCTTTAACTCAAGATCACTGTTAATTCTTCCATGCATGTATGAGTTCCTGTAAGTCTGATAAGATGGATTATAAGATTCTCTGGTCTGGACTGTAAAACATTTTGCTTCTTTTTATATACAAAGCATGTATATTCTACAATCTGCTTTTAATTAGTTGTAAATATTTTTCTTATGTACCACAGTCAACATCTTTACATTTAATAAGTAATTTAGAACTCATTAAAATATATTTTAATTTATAATAATGCATTTTCTTTTAATTTCAGTTAAACTGCATTTCTTTGGGGGTATGAAGGAGTCCTTTTGTTTGACAGAAATGAATTTCTTTAAGGTTCTTTTTAAAAAGTAAATGTCATTAACAGTGATTATATCACTTTTTATCCTAAGATATATGTGAATCCTATTTTATACTGCTAGTGGGTCAGTCAGTTAAAATGATATGCAACATTCAAGTCTATGACTATTAAAGTTTATTAAGATACAGTCAGAAGAGGAACTTTTTTTTCTAATATGGATGCAATGCCTAAAAAGAACAAAAATTGTCAAAGATTTCTGCCACTTTTTACTAGGTTTAAAATGTGACTTTCCCTTCTATATTGCTTATATAAGCAATAAAATCACTATATATAACAGCAAACTCAGCCTGCATTTGTGTTCAAATTGTCACCTTCCCGTTTTCCCATTTAAATGTCCCCTTTCTTTTTTGTTTTCTGCTTTCATGACTATATTTATTCCTTTACAATAAGAGAGAATGTGAATGACTCACATTGAAAGCTCCTTTATTAACTAGGACAAAGTAAAGGTGTTTCTTATAATAAAACATTCAGGTCTTGATCAGCGAACTGTTATTTATTCCTATAGTCTACAGTAAATCCCCCTTTTCAGGAGTATTTTCTTAAATGTCGGGTGAAAGATTAATATCACTTTCATTATTTTCATATTCATTATTATTTTATCTAGTCTTTTAAAATTGCATTTTTAAATCATGAGTGGACTGGGCGTGGTGGTATACATCTGTAATTCCAGAAACTCAGGAAGCGGAGGCAGGAGAACTGTGCGTTCAAGGCCAGCCCGGAATATATTGAGATCCTGTCTCAATTTTAAAAAAGTCATCGTGGGTAAATGGCACCTTTCAAACTGTTCTTGAGTGAAAATCTGTAATGGGTATTTGAGTCTTCAAACAAAATACAGGTTTCTCCTTTTAAATGTTATTATTTTATTTTTTTTGGCAGTACTAGGGTTTGAATTCAGGGCTTCAAATTTGCTAGGCAGATGGTCTATAGCTTTGAGTCACGCCGCCAGCTCTTTTTTCCTCTGGTTATTTTGGAGACAGGGTCTTGCTTTTTGCCCTGGACTGCCTGCACTATGATCCTCCTATTTACGCTTCCTGCTTTAGGTGGGATGACAGGCACACCACATCCAGCTCACTTTTTGTCTAGACTCACCTTGAACTGCAATCCTCGGGATTTCAGCCTAGCAATTAGCTAGGCTCAGAGGCTAAACCACTATGTTACTAAGTTTTTATAAAAATGATGGATTGTGTTATAGATAGATGGATGGTGGTTTCAAGCTGTATTAGTTTGATTACACTCTCTGGTGTTCACACAACAAAGAAGTCAGGTAATAATCATTTCTCAGACTGTATAACTGCTTTCTTCCTGTAAGTAAAATGATTGCATCTATATTGTTAGAAAAAGATAAGAAAGCTATTTTTAAACACTTCATATTTATTTCGGGGGTAATACACACATTAAGACCCCAAGATAAACATTATACCTAGACAAGTGGGAGGTACTGGAGCTCTAGTGCCATCTTCTGGAAATCAGTCATGTTACAGCAGCCAAGAAAACACCCCACAGGTGCAGCTGTACAGACAGTATTTGTAACAGAAGCATCTTCCCCCCCAGCTTGTCACTGTTTTGAGTGTGGTGAGCCAACACAAAAAACACTGTACATCCAGAATCTGGCCTGCTAGGTTGCCTAGTAAATGAACTAATGAATCCAGAGGACACTGCCTTAAAAAGTGCTCCTTTCCAGAGTTCAGATAGACAAGTTCCTGTTACAGAGACATTTACAATACTAAATTCCCAGTCATTCTTGGAGTGTCTGCATAGAGTCACTTGGGAATCTTGATTTCAGGGGGTTGGAAATCTAAAAATAGCTCTTGTGAATTTTTAGAAAGCTGGAATTTATAACCCACTGCCGAGAAGCTGAGTAACAACTAATACTGAATGGTGTGAGCACTGAAGTGAGCTAAACTATTTATAACCCTCTAAAGCACTGGGGCTGACAGCTTATGGTACTTTGGAAAAAAAATCAACAATACCCAAAGTCTCTAGTAGAAAAAAAAAATCAATGAAATGTTCAAGGGCCACAAATAATAAAATGCACCAGAACATTTTCTAGAACCTAAGCCTGGCTTTGAAATACTCAGGTCAATGAGAAGGAAGCACTCAGGAGGAGTGAATTGCTTTACTGTAGAATCTCCAGTGTCACATGTACTAGAAACAGTCCATCACTGCCACTGCAGGTGTGCACCACTGTGCAGAAGCAGAAACCAAACCAGAGACTTAAAAAGCAACTTGATTTGATTTTCTAGTTTTTCCTCACAGTTTTAACAGTTCCTGAGTCACATCTAAAAGTAGTTGAAATTTAATCTCACTGCCTCCCTTTTTAATATCAGCTTCTCATAAAACAGAACCATTTCTTGTAATGGAGCAGTGGGTTGAGGAGACTATTTCCATAAACACAGTTTTCATCCTAATTCAGGTGTGTGCTAAAACAGGACAAAGATTTTATTAGGATGGCTATAGTAAAATAGAAAAAAAAGGATTGGCAAGAATGTGGAGAAATTAGAAACCACATACATTGCTGATGAGAATGTAAAAAGGTACAGAGATGCTTTGGAAAAGTTTTCCAAACTTTTTTAGGAATTGACAGAGTTGCCATTTCACCCAACAATTCCAAAACTCATAGTTAAGAAAACTGAAAACATGTTCACACAAAAACTTTTACAATGGCTCACAGGAGCATTATTCATTGTAGGAAAGGGTAGAAATGGCCTACTGTCCACCAGCTAATTAATAAATCCATAAACAAAAATGTGTTTTATGAATACAGGAGGGCATTGTTCAGCTAGAAGAATTAGTGCTGGTGCTGCTCCATGGGCGAATCTTGACAACATTCAAAGGCCACATTTTATGATTCCATTTACATGAAATGTCCAGAATGGACAAATCCAGAGAGCTAGAAACCCTATCAGTGGTTGGCAGAGTCAGGAGGAGGGGCATTGGAAACGGACTGCTAACAGGTAGGCTTCTCTTTGTGGTGATGAAATTGTTCTGGAATTAGATCTTAGTGATGACTGTACAACCTTAGGAACACACTCAGATTACTGAACTGTATGCCAGGTAGGGCTGGCAGGGTGGCTCACGTGGTAGTGTGCCTGCCTGGCAAGCCTGAGGCCCAGAGTTCAACCCTTAGTACAGACAAAAAATTTTTTTAAAAAGTGGAAGCTAAAATTCAATTTTTAAAAATGAACAAGAGAAAACCAAAGGATGTCCACTCTCACCATTGCTGTTTAACCCTGTATTAGCAGTTGAAGCCAGTACAATAAGGCCAAACCAAAACATTTTTATAAAAGGCATCCAGATTGGAAAGAAAGAAGTGAAACTGTCTTTATTTATAGATATTATCTATATTGAAGATCCTATAGAAGCTACAAAAAGCTACTAGAATTAGTGACTTAGGATTCAAAATTAATATACAAAAATCAGTATTTCTAAGTACTACTAACAATCATAGTTCTTTAAAAAGAGAATACAAAGGACAGATCCATTGATTCTAAGACTCAGTAACGTCAAGATGCCAGTTCCCCAAAATTGGTAACACAGATTTGATGAAATCACAGTCAAAACCCCAGTAGCTTTTTGGTAGAAATCTTAGCAACAAATTCCAGTATGGAGGTAGTATTCAAGCCAGTGGGGAAAGGAAAGACTATCTAGCAAACAGTGCCTTTGCAAATGGCTTTTTATGTGGAAGAAAATGGGACCTTTCTATTACACTAAATGCCAGGATAAATCCAGATATATTAATTAGATGTAAAACATTAAGATCTCCTAAGAAATCTAGATTTCAAGCACAATTTAGGACCAGAGGAGGCTATAACCATGGGCAGAAGTTACAAATGAACACGGTAACAATATAGCTTTCATATTGCAAACAAAATGCTTGGAGGAACAGTATATGGGAGTTCTACACCTTCGCGATGTTTCTGCAGAAAAGTTTGGCGTCTACAACTCCAAAACTACTCAAAAATAAGAGGTTTTCTAAAAATAGAATGCATACCAAAAAAACTGGTTATTAATAGCCAATAGTCAAATGATACATTAACAGCTATAATATGTAATAAATACTCTCTTTCAAATATATAGGAGAAAGCTACCCAAAAGAAAACAAAGATATAATAGCCAATTTAGGGAACTGCAAATCAAATACCCCCTCCCTCTAAAAGACAAAACATGAAAAGATACATAAATTCACTAGACAGGAAAATGTAAAATCAGGTAATAGGTATTATTATCTCCTAAAACCTACTGTGAATGGCTTGTGGCTGTAACGCCGATCTTACATACCCTTACTGAAGTTCATCCCAGGTTGACATTTGAGAAATCAAATTCACATTAACACATTAAAGGAATAAATCATAATACATGACAAATGCCCCTCCCCCAAAAGCTAGTAAAATTCAACACATTTTCCAAGGTAAGAGCTAAGGGAAAACCAGGAGTTAAGAGCATAATTTACTAAATTTGATATTTTTTAAATAACAAAAGTTATTTGTAGTAAAATATTGTAGTTAAGGATTGAAACAGAGGTTTTCCTTTTGAAGTTACTCATAAATGAACAATGCCTCTATAACCACTGTTTAGCAGTATACCCTAGAAGTCCTAGCCAGTGCAAGTGGGCCAGAAAAAGAAACAAATTAATGGCCTAAAAGGCAGAAGCAAAACAACTTTAATCTCAGTCCTGCCACTAACCAGCTATGCTACTCCAGGCAAAGTACCTAAGTACTGTGTGTAGCTTACCTCAT